TTTATAAAATGGAGTACTACTCAGCCATAAAGAATGAGAAACTAGAGACATTTATAGCTAAATGTATGCATATTGAGGCCGTACTCTTAAGTGAAATAAATAAGACACACATGTGTAAATACTGAAAAGTTTCTCTGGTGTAAAAAACTAAAAGTGTAAATAAGGATCAAAATGTATAATTGATATTATGAAATAGGAAAAAAAGGTCTAAAGGAATAGGGGAAATGGGAGGGATGGGGAAAGGAAAGAAGGGAAAAGAAAAAATATGAGAAAAGGAAAAAAATGGAAACGAATTATTTGTAAATAGGGAAGAGTGGAGGGGGTGAAGGGAGGGCAAAGGAAGGGGAAAAAAATAAGAACCAAGATACATCATGTAAAGATACAAGATCCCAATGATGAATGTAACTATACTGTATACCTAAAATGTACCAATAAATAAACTTAATTAATAAAAAACAAAAAACATAAAACTGAGCCCCTCAGCCTACCTACCATCCTCTGACCCAAGCTGCCTCCTTTTCAGGAGTCCCCAGGTTGAGCTTGTAGCACCATTCTCTTCCATTCCTAAGCTCCAAGTCTAAGAGTCTGCCTCTCTTATACCTCTCATCTGTGGCTACTGTGTCTTCTTCAGGTTGCACCCATTCTGCTGCCCTTTCAGCTCTTAGATCTACCTCCTCCTTCCCATCGCTAGTGCCTAAGTTCATCCTTGGAGGCCCACACTTGCCTCCCTGACTCCAGTCAGTCCCTTCTTCACACGGAACCTGAGTGCACTTTTTAGAACACAAATAGCTGATGATTTAGAGCCTTCAAATTTAATTTTGTGTATCTTGGCCTGCCTAACCTCAAGTCTCATCTCTCCTATGCTCCACCCCTTAGGTTAGTTGTGCTGTATTGTATTCTTTACCCAGTCTGTTCCTTTTGCCTAGAATGCTTTCTATTCACTTCCAATCTCTAAGAAAATTTTTATATATCCTTTAGGATCCACCCCAAACATCACCTTCCCCGACATCTCTGTGCAGAGGTGCCCCCCCACTCTATAAAATGTCTATTCTATTCCTTACTGCAGATCTTGTTTAGCTATCTGTCTCTTCAAGTGGTAATGAACTTTGTGAGACTAGAAACTATTTTTTACTTAAATTTCTTTTCTTTTCCCTAAGTGTCTGGCACATAATAGGGACTCAATAAATATTTATTATGTAAATGAAGGAATAGCTGAATGGATGAATTCAGGGTTGGACTTTATAAGCCCTTAAGCAATTAGCCATCAAGTCACCTACCACAGTGTGGGTGGGTTATAGATGGTGAAAGAGACTTCACACTCCTTCTGCTGGAATTCCCAATATATTCAGCTGAAGAAACAAAGAAGGGAAGATGGTGATGAGAACAGAAACAGATGCATTATACCTTGGCATGGAATTTTTCTTACTCCTTAGTCCTTATAGGGTGGGCAGCTGACAATGCCATGCTCTACAGAGTTAGTATTGTCCTGCCACCATTGAAGGGAAAAAAGCCAAATTTTTACTGAGCCATTATCTATTTCAAATTTATTTTGCTCTTCACTGGTGATTTTGCATCACTAGCAATCTGTGCACTCCTACTTTCCATCAAGGCCTGTGTGCTCTTACCCAGAACCTGCTACTGGAGGCCTCCTTTCATTTGCTAACTTAAAGAGGTCTGTGGAGTCCCTAGGAAGAACTGGAATGTCAGGAAGTGAGTGGACTTGGGACAGAGCTATTTTTAATTAATAGAGAAGTTTAAAAATTACATTAAACAATATGTATGACTACACAAAGACATACCAGCTGAAGCCCTACTATTTTAAAAGGAAGTTAACCAACATCAGGATTGCTTGATTCTTGAACAAAACTCACCATCAGTGGTACCTCACCTCTAAGAGGAGAAAGCAGCTAGGTATCATGGAACAGTCATCCCCAGCTTCAGCCTCCCAGTGTCCTGGAGAAGTGGTCTCTTCACAGACCACCCTGCTTTGGATTTAGTACCCATTTACCTCCCTGGTTCTGATACATCTAAAATAACAAATCCATTTGACTGAGATGGAGCTTCAGTCACTTGCTGGAGTTGTCCATCAGAATGAAACAGCTGGCATACTAGCAGGTACACAGAGTGGGCAGCAGAATGAGAGAGGGGCATACAGGGAATCATGACTATCTTGGAGAGGAAGGTAAAATAGGATCCTGGGGAAATGATCTTAGAGTAGATCTACAATCCTTACAATAAAATTATTAGCATTACCTCTTAGATGCCTACTCTAAGCCAGAAACTGTGCTACCTACTTTCCTACTGTCATCTCCAAGTCACACATATGCCAGTGTAGCTATCATTATCTCCATTTGGCAGATTAAAAAAGTTTCAGAGCAATTGAACTTGGACACACAGAGATGTGTTCATAAGTATCACTGCTGAATGTTCCTAAAGATTCTGAACTTCCCTTGTTAAAACACCCAGAACTGTTTTCTGATTTTTGCCTATTGTCTGTCTCATGTGGACATTTATAGTATCTAAAGAGCCAAGTCCTCACCAATTTTACTTGCTGTTATAGAACACATGCAGGAGTAGTTGCATAGTAGACCAATGTTTATGGAGAAGAAAGAAGAGAGGAGGGAGGGATTCCTAAATTTGCCCATGGAATAAGTGGTATCACCTGACTGTCCTTCAGTATTCTCCTACATGCCCGAAGTTTATAGTGCAGTTTGAGGAGATAGAAGGAGACTGGTTTTTTTTGTTTCACTGCATAAAGCTCAGTCACTCAGTTATAAACATAAAGCCATCTACTCCCAGGGATTGGAGCAAGACCTTCTGAGGATTTCTGTGGTTATTCTTTGCTATGTCTGCTTTGCTCTCTGCCTTCCTGAGATGGCCCCTCTTTTCCCAACTCTGTTGTCATTTCCTTGACCTACACAAAACTAGTATTCAGAAGACATTTAGTAAATATTTACTCACTGAGTCATTCAATCCTTGAGCATACAACTCTAGGGTAGCACAGTTCAATTACAACATCTGACAAAGCTCTCTTTCTGGGCTTACTGTCTTGCTTCCAAGAGAATTAAATATTGTTTTTACAGCACACATATGGAAATGCCATTTGCAATTGTTGAAGCTATCTGTAAATAGACTCACCCCACCCCACATGGAATATCATTCAGGACTGAAAAAACCATCCAGAATAACATGGAGAGGGGGCTTCTGGGAAAGCAAATGCAGAATTGGGCTAATACTTAGTGATCCCATGATAAAGTAATTGTTGAGAAGCAGACTGGAAATTGTTCCTTTCTCTCCCAACAGGCCTACCTTACACAGCAGGCCTCCTGCCTGGCTGCCTATTTGAATTACTTACGTTTTAACATATAGGTTTTATTACTACTTAGGTGTGGTAGGGTCAATAGATCAGTAGACAACTGCCTTTGAAATGCTAGTTTGGGCTGGGGATTTAGCTCAGTGGTTCCGGCGCCTGCCTCGAAAGCGTAAGGTCCTGAGTTTGATCGCCGGTACCAAAAAAAAAAAAAAAGAAATGCTAGTTTGTTAATATGCACAGTCCCCCCCTAAATAAATAAAGCTATAATCTATGTGACTACTGAAAAAAAATATGCACAGTTCCCAAGAGGAGGGGACTACCAACCTGGGGGAGGTATCACACAAAGCACCAGAGTTCCATCCCTCAGGAGACAGATGAGTGGAAGAGAAGGGCAAGGCTAGGCAAGTGGATTTAGGATTGACTAGTTTGGGTAATTTCAGTGGGCTCTGGAGCATTGGAGTTGTCTCTGGTTGTCTGGTACCTGATCCTGGAGTGGTAAGGGCAGGTTGGATGGTGGCCCCAAGGGCGTGATTGAGGCCTGAGTCCAGATTGGGTGGTTTGCATATCAAAGGCTTGTATGGTGCTTGTGGACAGATGGGAAACTTGGTTAGGAATTAGTCAGCCATTAGCTACCCCTGGGAGATGTGGACCCACAGGGTCAACAAGGCCTCAAGAAGGCAAAGAATCAAAAAATGAAAGGTATGATTATCAACACAAGTGGCTGGGAAAAGGACACTAAAAGTTTTGATGCTTAAGCCCTATACTCTAGAGATTAGGATAGAATGTGTCTGAGATGGAGCCTGGAAACTGGTATTTTAAAAGGTTTCACTGATTATTCTATTTTATTTACTTTTTTTGAGATGGAGTCTTCCAAGTTGTCCAAGGTCACCTCAAACTTGCAATTTCCCAGCTTCTGCCTCCCAGTCCAAGTCATTGGTATTACAGGTGTGCACCATCATGCTTGGCTCCTCCACTGATTTTAATATACAGCCAGGATTGTGAGCCACAGGTGGCATGTACGTCACTCAGACATTCAGAGTGTGTTGTTTCTTCAGGAATGAGCCCTTTAATAGTATACCAAGTTTGCCACAAGTTGTAGATGCCCAAGAACTATTTATCAAATTAGTTTCTAAATACAGTTGCTTTATCTTTCATTTCAGGCCTCCAACCAGAGAGACCTTCCATCCTCCTCCACCTGTTCCACCCAGAGGTCGATGATTCTACCTCCTAAACTCTGCCTACTTCAGAACATTAAGACTTGCAATTTTCAGCCTGTTAATGAGGTCTTCATGTTGCATTTTCTGGTGTGGCTGTTGATCTTAAGATCCACTCTGATGGTTTGGATTATCCTTGAAGAAGACATTATCAAGGCATGAAGGAGTGAACAATTAAGGACTCTGTTCACCATCATCAAGCATATTGATCCATATTCTTGTTTGCCAGAAAAAAAAACAAACTTAAATCAGGATACTTACCTCTACTTTCCCATATCAGAAGCCTAATAAGATTGATCAGAAATGTACTTACAAGTGATTATACTGTAATGCACTTATATTAGTCCTTATGTATTTGCCAGCCCAGCCTAATTTCTTGAAATGATTATGATATAGGTCTCACAGTATTCAAGTAAAAAAATAAGTGGCCTAATTTTAAAATAATTCTTCTGCTTGCCCATATGTGCAGGAGGGTCACATACAGAAAACTGAAAAAAACCTTAAAAAGGTACATGTCTTAACTTCTTTTGTATAGAAGGCAAATCTGAGCTCCCATAGAAATCTAGAACCATGGGCTGAGATGTAGCTCAGCACCACAGCGCCTGGGTGGCAAGCTCAAGGACCTGAGTTCAATCCCTGGTACAAAAAAACCCCTAAAAAACAAAAACCTCCATGAAATCTAGAACCAAGAGATCTCAGTTGTTTAGAGGAAGAGATCAGTCTACAATCTAGACCTATTGATTTTAGATCATCATACTTCCCATCTCTGGCAAGCTAATTCCTCTTTCCTTCAAGGTATTCCCAGATGTAGAAATTCATCAGTGACTGTAAGTCTTCTGGAAGTTTCCCCTTTTCACATCTTCTACGCATCAGATACTAAGTACTTTCTTCAATTTGGACACTTATACCTCATTATGCTTTCAAAACAGTGATATTGCCAAGAGGCCAGTGAAAATGGTTAGAACTAGAAGCATAGGATGCCAAGGACCTCACTTATTTGCTCTGTTGCCTTTTAAGTCTTAGTTCTAGCCATAAAGAGAGGGGAGGATCCTTGATTTTCTCTGCTGAAGGATCTGAAGAACCTAAAATAGAAATACTTTGAATATTTTATTGTACTTTATTCTTATATTAAAATAAATAGAAAACATAAAATTCAAAGTGCTGATGAGAAGCCTGGGTCTCATGATTGTGATGCCCCTGTGTCAGGGATGGACCTGATAGAGAGCAACAAATCAATACCTACATCCTCTGTAGATATTTGTTGAACATCCAAGCTGTTTGATGGTGCAAAAAAGAAGAAAAGAATCTGGATGAAATACTGAGACCATGTTATCAAAGAATGTTTCTAATGGTTGGAAAAAATGTTTTTATTCTCTACAAAAACTCTACCTAATGTCACATAAATTTATTCAACTTCTACATACTAAACACATTTTACAGGAATACATTATATAATAAAACCATGGATTTTCAATATAGTGAGGATCAGAAACTAAACTATAAGCAGGTATCTAAAGAGATTATTATAAAGTCTTCTCTATAATGCTTTGGAAGACACCACTTTCCTTTGCTAAGATTTTACAATCTGGCTCAATAAAAAGTGAGGCAATTGGTCATATTCACTGCAATTACATTTTCCCCTAACTCTAGAAGTTACAGTGGCTTCCAATTCCTAGGCCAGCCTTGTTCCATTATTTTATATTGAAACCCAGGGGTACATTTTTTTTTCAAATTTTCATATTTTTGTACTGTTTTATAATTTAAGAAGAAAAGCAGGAATTTCACTAGATCACATACAAGTTTGAGGTTGTGTTTATGAAAAAAAAAAACAACCCAGGGGGAGGGGCTGGGGATTTAGCTCAGTGGCGCCACACCTGCCTTGAAAGTACAAAGACCCCTGTTACCGCAAAAATAACAACAAACCCAGGGGGAGATTATCCAACCATATAAGCAACGAAGTATAAAGACTGACAGACTATGAAGAGGTTGGTGTTGCAATCAAATACTTTAACTTGACATATTTAATAATGTGAATAATTTTTTATGCTTAGTCATTACGATACAAACTGATATTATGTAGATGACTTTAAGGAATATTTTTTACAAGTTAAGCTAAGTAAGTTACCTCCCTTTTTTTCTTATGGTTTGTTATTTAAAAAAAGAAAGGTTCTAGTTTGTCTACTATCACTTCAATAACTGGGATTTTTAGATCCCTCTGGTACATGCTCGAGGAAGTAAGCTGTTTTTTTCTGCACCTCCTTCAAAGAATAGTTTTTGGTTTTACAGCTGCTTGGTGGAGGACACATTAGTAACAGATTAATTTCTGAGACAGGCAAGTGGTTAATTTGGATAATTCTAAAAGACTCATCATAAACCATCAATCCTCAATATTGAAGAATCTGCCTGCATAAATATTTGCTTTGGTTTGATAAATACATTATGTTGTTCATTTCCAAGCAAGTTATTCAATCCTGCTGCCCAGGTTCTATGCCCACCAGGGTGGTTAGAGGATAAGTAAGAGGCTGAAAAATGTATTTTGAATTCTGAGGCACACTTGGAATTCAATTGCTCATAGGAGCAGTAAGAAAAAAAAGGTTCCCGGACTAGACTCCCAAAGCTCATTTAAGTCATTGTATAGGAGAAAGTGTCTTACCTGTCTACACAGTATGAGCATGGGCTACAAAGTATGAGCATGGTATAGGGAAGAGAACATTGGTTTGCAAGTCAGGAAGCTTGACTGACATTTTGGATTGAATTCACATAATTTGACTACATAGGTCTGTGTTTTATCTTCTGTGAAGCAGAGCTTTATATTTGGTAGTAGTCCACACCCTTTCAACTCTATAAGTGGGGAATCTTGAGCTATATCCTAGCCCAGGAATCTTTTTTTTTTTTTTCTTTTGGTACCAGGGATGGAACTCAGGTCCTTGAGCTTGCCCAGCAGGTGGCGAAACCACTGAGCTAAATCCCTGGCCCAGGAATCTTTTTAAAAATCATGTATAGTTGTTTTTCTTTGCCTTTTATCATTATTATAATAGGTTAGTTTAAAAACAGAGTGGGAGAGAGTGAAATATGAACCACCCAAATTAATGGCTTTAATTGTTCTTCAGTCCCAGAAGCAAATGTTTTCAGTGATTGCTTCCTAAAGAAAGATCTCAAAGCAACCACAAAGTTTTTTGGTACCTAGAACATTTCAACTAGAAAGAGGCAAATAGCAGCTGCGTGTGGTGCGGCATGTCTTTAGTCCAGATACTTGGAAAGGTGAAACAGGAGGATCATTTGAGTCCACAAGTTCAAGATCAGCCTAGGCAACAACATAACAAGACCCCACCTGTGTGGGTGGGTGGGAGTGGCAGATAGCAGCAGCCTTTCACCACTTTCCTAAAGTAACTGGCAAGACAAACAAAATAAAAAATAAAATTCTAAAGAAAAGGCAGCTGATGATGAAATCAGAAGATATGTTACCCATATCCTATGACTTTCCATGTTTGTGTTTTCCATAATGAGAATAAAAGATAAAAATTGTGGTTTTTCTGGATTGACTCATTCAGACTATCATAGGGTATGCAGCCATTGGGAGAGGTGGGGATTTTCTTTCACTGGCATTTCCCCCTCCTTTTTTGGTGCCAGGGAATACAGTCATTAATCTAGATGAAGAAACTAGTGAAATAAGATGTATCAATATTTTTCACTCTCCTTAGTTACCTTTTCCTTTATTAAACTTTTCCAGTCTCTCCTTTTCTCATTGCTCATTGCTCTTATTCCCTGTGCAACATTTGCACAGTTGGTCTCATTTTGTGTACTTTTTTTCATACTGTCATCATGCCTGTTCTCTGTTGTGTATAAGGTTTCCTGGGTTTAAATCTACCCTCTCCGAATTCACAATTTTTCTTCTCTTTTCTACCTTGAAGCATTTACCAGCCCAGTGCTTCCCTTAAAACACAACGAAACTTATGTCTCAAATCTGTGGAGGCTGGTGATGGCTGTTTAAGAAACTACTCATCCATCTTAATGCAGCACTTATACTGCTTGTTCTTCAATCGCCCATCATCATTTCATTCAAAGGCAGTGATTATTCATTCACAGTGCATTTACTGAGCTTCCACTATGAGCAAGTTACCATGCTAGGTACTTTGGAAGATATACAGAGATGAATAAGATGTCTCTTATTTCTGTAGCAATTACTGATACACAATTCTTACAGCAATTCATCATGCACTGCCTTGTGATGTCTCTTACACTATCTAGAAAACATTCTTTAAATCCTGCTATGCTATTTTTCACTTGTTAATGTCTTTACTCATTCAAATAGTTGTTGAGTATCTGTGATGTAACAAGCACTATTCCAGCAGCTGGGGCAGAGATAAAGAAATAATAGTTCCTGCCATCCAAAAAGGTCAGGAAAAAAAAAGGTACAGAAGAGGAAACAAATATCAGTAATTATGACAACATGCCAAATGCTATTGGAATCCCAAAAAGAGGGATACTCAAACTCTCAAAAGCATGAAACAAGACCTCACTGAAGAGGTGAAAATTTAGGTAGGCCTGGAAGGATATTATCATGGACAAGGTCAAGCAGGGTATTCTAAAGGGAATGTCCAGAGCAAAGGCACAGACATGTAAAGAATATGGTGCATTCAGGAAATACAGACTTGTGTCTATGTCAGAACATAGACTCTTTAAGATAAAGATGGGGACATAAATCAGGGTTTGATTGTGATATTGCATGTTAACAGGCAAAGCCGGACTTTATCCTTTAATAAGGAACTTTTCCTCCCTGATTACATGCTCATTGTAAAAAGCATCTAAGTAGAAAATTGGTCATGGCTTGAGTCATTATTATCTTTCAGATTGTTTTCTACAGGTAAACTAATATTATAGACAGCTAAGTTAGGTAGAAATATTCTAGGCAGTCAGACAGGACTAGGCCCTCGAGCAAGTCAGTGCAGAAAAAGAGAACACATTACAACTGTGGCAGGAGGCGCATCTGTCAAAGGCCAGACCTCAAGATAAAGACAGAATGACCAAGACTACATGCCTCTCCAAGGGATAAACAATAAATTGAAGATTATACTATTATTGGTATCACCTGGTCCAAAAAAGTCTAGATAGACATCAGTCATCTAGGTGGGTGACCAGGACCTCACACTCCCTTTCTTAAAAGGTCCTTGTTCTTTCCATGTACAGTTGCTACATGACCTGCTAACCCATTGGACCAATATTACTTAAGAGGATATACTTGTAACCTTATCATAATCATAATTTTGACCCACCTTGTGATTTTACTCTATAAAACTTCAAGAAGTGGGCTCGGCAACCCACTTTCGGGTCCCTTCCTGTTTCTCAGGAGCTATTTCAATAACGTTTTCCTACTCTTAACCTCTGTTGTTCCTTAGAATTCATTCTTCGATTTTGGGGAACACAAACTCTGCATATCTGACATCTAGCAGATTGGAAGTTAAATCATTTTCCCTGTATCACTAACATTAGCATTTAAAATGGTCACACTGTACTTTTTCATTCACAAATATTTCTTGGATATCATTCCATGCCAGCACATGCAGATCTATTTTCATTTTTAAAATGGTTGTATAGTTGGTAGTGTATCAGCAGGAAAGACTGATTACTGGAACCAGACTGTGTTTATCCAGTCTTTCAGCAAGCCACTTAACTAACCTGTGCTTCAGTTACCGCCTAACATTAACATATCAAAGCTACATGTTGCCTAGGGTTTTTATGAAGATCAAGTCAGTTAATACAGAGGAGCCCAGGATTTAGCTCATTGGTGCCGCTGCCTGCCTCGCAAGCGCAAGGTCCTGAGTTCGATCCCTGGTACAAAAACAAATCTAACATTCAAAGAGTGGTTTAAACAAGCGATAGAATCCAGTTTCTTTCTGGCACATTTTGAGAATGATAAACAGGGGAGGAAGAAAGGAAGATATGTGGTGGGAATCTTTCTGGGAAACTTGCAATATGGAATGTTGGGCGCTACTGGCTGAGGAAGGTCAGCAAAAATGAAACTCTGAAGACATTTTTAAGAGACCAAATGCTAGATTGTTGACTGTTGATGGCTAAGAAGACAACAGTATAAGTTCCACATTTTGGCTTAAGAGGACTATGTAGATGGTAATGCCATCTATGTTCATTTTACAGATACTGAGTCATTACTACGAGCGTAGGTACAGAAAATATGGCAGCAACAGGATCTCTGCTCTAAGGAGCTTACATTCCAAGAGGCCTTTATGACTGAGGACAGGTGCCCAACAAATAATAGACAAGTAAATAAACAAGAGTTTCAATTAGCTTACATTTTTTGATTGAATAGTAGGAGTCCAATAAATACTCTGGGACTTTAAAACTTACAGAGCTTTGTATAAGTTTAACAATCTATCATTACGATTACCGAGTCCGAGATTTTCCTGAGGCCCTAGACGAGTGCTTGGAAAGTTATCTGATCTCTCAAACTAGCTAGGCTGCAGGTCAAAGATCAGCCAGGGGGAGCTGAACCCTTGACTTAACGTCACACAATCCCAAGCCCCGGGGCAGCCTCGAGGGGCTGGCCAGGCCGTCGCGAACGAACGAGGCTTCACCTTCCCACTCGCTGGACCGAGGAGTACAAGCTGGCCGCTCCCCCCGCCCCGCGTCGGCGGCGGTTGCGACTTCACGTCGCGAGGCACTTCCGGCGTGTGCTGGGGTAGCCGGATGACGTGGCTGAGTCAGAGGAAGAGGCTGAGAGGCCGGGGGGGAGGGGGGAGGGGTGGCTCGGCGGCGGCGGTGACGGTGGTGACGGCGGAGGCGGAGGCAGCGGCTGGGCCCGGGCCCCGTGCGTCTCTCCGCGCCTGGTGGATGCGAATCGGCCGCGACAGAGGCGGCGACGGTGGAGGAGTTGGTGGCCGGCGCCGGGCCAGTAGGAGCGCGGAGGATGAGGCCGCTGCCGGGTGTTCCTGGCGTGGCGGCGGCCGCCGCACTGTTGCTGCTACTGCTGCCCCGGGCCCGGGCGGACGAGCACGAGCACACGGTGAGACGCCTGGCCGCCCCCAGCCCGCTTGCTCCCCCGACCCGCTCGCTCCCGACAGGCCCTGCGTGGCCTGGAGGGCCGGCAGCCCGGTGCGCTCCGCGCCGCCCTTGGCTCCTTCCGGTCGGGCCTGGCGGAGCCGGAACCGCGGGAGCCAGGAGGAGACATTTCCGTGCGCTCTGTGGGCAGGATCCACGCCCCTGGGTGTGTGGAGCCTGGAGGGGCCTAGGGAGGGCTGAGGTCTGCCGTGCCGCGGGACGAGGACCGCTTACTCCTTCGCTCTTCGGGGCTACGACATCGCGAAAGATGGATGCTCACCAGGAAACAGCCGCCACTTCGTGGTTCTCGCCAGGTTTCTTTCCCTCTCCTTCCCAAACCGGCTTAGAGCCTGGGGTGGGGAGGGCCTTAAAAACTCGAGGTGAGAGCGGTTTCCACGTGTCGACGCTCGCAGCCTGCACGCCTGCGGCCCGAGGCCTCTCTTGGAACTTTTCTCCTCACCCCGTGAGCCCCCTGACGATGCCCGGTCCAGGTGGTCTCAGACCCGGTCAGCTCCTCACCCGAAAGGATCAAGAGTTACCTACCCGGTCTTCTGGCCTGGCCCCAGAACAGTATCGTTTGCATTTGATAAAGAGTTGATTGGAGGGTTTTTTTAGTTGCATTTTCATATCAAAGCTTGGATGTTAAAGAGTCTTGGAGAGACTTTCACCTAGGGCTGTAACTCGGTGGTTTTAGGAGTAGTATACTTGAGCTAGGCCTGAAAGTCGGGTAAATTGAGGTTGTTTGGCGAGTGATTTTTTTTTTTTATTCCTTTACCCATTCACGTTACGATTTTGCATGAGGGGTTGTGTGTATACTAAATCCGAAAGATATGACAAAGAGTTCTCGGTTATGCGCAGAATATGTGAGGAAATGAGGTCAGTTTTATCTATTTAATGGGTCTGATTTTAGATGTGTAATTAAAACTTTTCTCTAGTCCCTGGGTTAGTTGGGTTGGTATTCTAGCTAATACTGTAAAAGTTTTAAATTTGGCTGTTTTACCTTCAACCATCGCTGGATATTTTAAGCCTGTGTGTGTGTGTGTGTGTGTGTATATATATATATATATATACACACACACACACATATATATATATATATATATACATATATATATACACACACATTTTTAGAGGCACAAATCCCAATTTGGGGGCATGTTTTTGTGCTATACTTAAAGTGACTTCACCTTAACATAATTTTGTTTGGAGGTTAATAAAAATAACTTTACTTTTTTTTCAATCAGGTAACCCGTTTCAAAGAATGAGAACTGTTACTGTTTGCTGTAGTACTCAGAGACCATACATAGATGGGGATCATTATCTTTTAATTAATGACATCCTTTTGATTAATAGTATAATTAATATTTTCCCATTTTTTTAAACATTTAAAAGCTACTGTGTGAGACCCAGAACTTTTTTCAACTGTATTGTTGTACCATATAGACATGAAGATTTCAGAATGCTGGTCTTTTTTTGTGGGTTGTTTTTTTTTTTTGGTACGGGGGATTGACTTGGGACCTTGCACTTCAGAGGCAGGTGGTGGAACCACTGAGCTAGATCCTCAGTTCTCTTTCTTTGTGTTTTATATTGCTATATGTAAGGTAAATGCATTAAAATTTAGTAAATTAGGGCCTGGGGATTTAGCTCAGTGGCATGGCACCTGTCTCTCAAGCCCAAGGTCCTGAGTTCGATCCCCAGTACAGCAAAAAAATTTAGTAAATTAGGTGTGTATAAAGGACTTAGAATAATTTATAAATTTAAAAAATAAATGCTAATTTCAGTGAAATTTTATTACTAGGAATGATTTTTTTAATGCAACTAAATTTTCTTTTGTGTCAGCATTGATGAAAGGTTTTTGTTGGGCTGGGGATTTAGCTCAGTGGTTCTGCTGCCTGCCTCGCAAGTGCAAGGACCGGAGTTTAATCCCTGGTACCAAAAAAACAAAAAACAAACAAAAAAAAAGGTTTTCGTTAACTTTTGTTAACTTAAAATATATTGTATATGAAATGCTTGCTAGACAAAAAATTTAGAATCCATATCATTTCTTTGCATGTCTATGTTCAACTGCTTTCCTGTGATTACACATTATTAAATACCTAAGTGTTACAGGAAGCATAGCATTAAGATGTAAGTAAGGTTCAAATAAGTATCACTTTTAGTATAGTTTTTTTGCTGTTAGTCAAATCTTTCATTTTTTCTAGGTTTCTTGAAAATGTGTCTTGAAAACTTGACATTAACCTTAGCCAGATAACAGTACCAGAAGGGCTGTGGGTATGTGATTTTTTTTTTTTTTTTGCCCCCTAGCAAGAAGGTAGAAAGAGCTAGTGAAAAGAGAATGATACTGTTAGAGGAGACAATTGCCAAGGGAAGGTTGCTGCTGGGTGGATGTTTAATAAATACTTGTGGAATTGAATTAATTCCACAGTTAATTAAAAGAATAGCTTTCAGAAGCTAAAGGCTGCCCTTTCGATTAACTTTCTGTGAAGACTGTTTCCAGGTAGAAGTAAAACTAATGGTTTTTATAGCAATATATGCTAGACATTGTTCTAACTGCTTTATATGTATTAAATCCTATTAAATATACATTAATGATCCTGTGAAGTGAATATTATACCCTTTACAAATGAGGAAACTGAGGCCAGAGTGATAAACTCACTTGCATGAGGCCACACCTCATGCTCTAGGTGGGGTAGAGGTGGGTTTTGAACCTTTTCAGCTGGGTGTAGTAACACATTACTGTTGTCTGTAATCACTCAGGAGGCTGAAGCAGGAGGATTGCTAGGAGTTCAAGGCCAGCATGGTCTATATAGTGAGCTGTCTCAAAACAGTCTTTAACACTTTCAGCTAATAAGCTCTACTACTGCCCTTTATCCTAAAACTAGGACTAAAAACACTTGGTATTAAATTGAGTTGGTCTCTATATTGATAGTATTATAGAGTGCTAAGGAAATGTTTAGATTGGTCTAGCTGCATAAGTTATTACTAGGAAGATGTTTCAGTAGTATTAAAGAGGGATAAAGTAACTTCCTGGACTATATATAATGGATTTGTTATCTGAAGTCACAGTACTGCTTGATTTAATGCTCTGCTGCCACCATCCTGAAATTCTTAATTTTTGAACAGAATCTTGTATTTTTATTTTCTACTGGGTCCTACGATTTAAAGTACATGTGTATGTGTGTATACATGTATATATACATGTGTGAATGTATATGTATATATGTGTGTATATAAATTAGAATATATAAAGATGTGCTTGGGCTGGGTATTTAGCTCAGTGATGCTGCGCCTGCCTCGTAAGCGCAAGGTCCTGAGTTCAATCCCTGGTACCAAAAAAAAAAAGATGTGCTCCTTTTAATTTTTTTTTTTTTTTCTGGTACCGGGGATCAAACTCGGGTCCTTGTGCTTGCGCAGCAGGGGGAGAAACCACTGAGCTACATCCCCAGCCTGCTCCTTTTAATTTTTAAAGGTTGAATCAGGACTGGTGATGTAGCTCAGTGGTGGAACACTTGCATAATATGCACAAGGCCTTGGTTTCAGTCCCAGTATTGCAAAAAAAGAAAAAAGTTGAATCATATGGATTATAGGACATATAATTGAAATTAAAATTGAAGAAAACTTTCATGAAAGAGAGAGACTGAATTGTTTGAAGGGTCATCAAAAGGCTCCTTAATAGTAAGTGAAAGGTAGGAGTATAAGGTATAATTTATGCTTGTTTGGATGAAGCACAAGAAAACATCTATAGTTAAATTGCTATGTCTCCTAAGATACCAAAGGACTTTATTGAAAACTATTTCAAATTAAGAATCATAGAACTGGGAGAATTTAGAACTGGGAAGACTTAAGATTAATCCAAAATTCACTTTCCTAATGGCTGAAAGAACTCCAGTGGCTAGCCCAAGGTAATAGAAAAATTGGACCTTCCTGATTTCTGGTCCTCCTTTCTGCCTATCTTACATGTTTAATTTCCATAGCAGCAGTATGTAAAAATGTCCGGACTAAAATACCAAGGGCAGAGTAATCTTGGGGCATTTTACGGTTCACACTGTAGCCATGGGATTTATGAGTTCTGTTTCCTCAACAGGATCACAAAGTCACTCCCCTTTCCTGGTCCTCCAATCTGTTATATACTCCAAGCGATGGTGGCTTGGCACAACCAGTAGTATTTAACCAGTGCTTATTGAGTGACTCAAATAATTAGGGAGCTACTAGGGACAAGGATAATACTGTGTTGGAAGCATGAAACTTGCTTAAACCACAGTGAACAAAGCCAGTCCATTGTTTATTTAAAGTGCATAGTCTTGGATACGCCTGTGTAATTAGGGTCCTTATCTAGACCAAAATCCCATTTCTTTATGACCCATCACACTTCTGGTAATTTTGGAACTTCTGTGCCTATGATAACTTATTTGACCTCTGCCATTAAATGGTTTGTATATGTGTACACTGAATGAGTTGAAAAATGGTTTATTTGCTTTACTTTCGCAAATGTCAACCTTTTGTCTTTATTTCTCTTAGGAATGTAGGAACTCATTTTGGTAGGGTGGGATGTGAGAGAGAGTCTAACTATGTAGCCTAGGCTAGCCTTGAACTTGCTATGATCCTTCTGCTTCAGCCTCCTGAGTGCTGGCATTACAGGTATGCACCACCACTTCCACCTGAGTATAGGATCTCCTGAAACGTATTTGGAGATTTATAAAGAGAATAAACTATTTTGTGAGTGAGTTTTTGAGTGCTGTCATATAAATCTAGTTTTTAGGAAATTTCATAATTCATTGTCCTATTTTCAGCCGCACTCAATGATAGTCTGGAGGTTTTTTTAGGTACAAGGTTATTTTGAGAAAGAACAGTTATCTCAAGAGACTATTAAAAATATACTTGTAAGGGCCGGCGATTTAGCTCAGTGGTTCCGCTGCCTGGCTCACAAGCACAAGGTCCTGAGTTCGATCCCTGGTACCAATAGTAATTTATTTGTAGTAGAATTTTGATGTGTTTTAAATAATTAAAAGGCTTTGAAATTTTAACTTCTGAAATACTTTCAGAACTGGATTTTGCTTTCTCTGATACTGTATTTTAAAATAAACTTGTCATCTTCCCATGCAAATGAACAATAGCATTTGGGTGTTTATTCTGATCTTTCTACCCCTTGCTAGTCAATGTAAATTGTGAGTTCTTTATTCAGGTCTTATAAACAGAAGTATCTCCTAAAGTGTTCCTCCTGAGAAAAATTAATTGGTGACCTCTGACAAAGAGGAAATCTTTGATCCCCCTTTCCCCTAGCACCTACCCAGAATATTTAAACGAGGGCAAATGTTGTTGACCTATTGAGGAAAAGGAAAAAGCTCGGTCTATTTGAGGTTAGAGTACAAGTAGCTTCCTAGAATGGCATTTTCCTTTAGGGCAGATTAAGGGCTCAAATAGAAAAATCGTTCAGTTGGTTTGTACACCTACACTTTTCATATTTTCTTAATTTAGTTTTTTGCTCTTTGGTTAGTGAAGCTGACTAGGAGTTAGCAAAGCTATAGCCTTGAACTTGTAAATTTGATACTGATATATAATATTGGACATGTTATTTAACATCTTGTTCTTTTTTTCTTTTAGTCTATAAAATGGAGGAAGTAATAGGACTACCTTACAGGATTTTGAGAAGATTAAATGTTCACGTAAAGATCTTAAAACTATGCCTAGCTCATCATATGTACTTTTAAAATGTTAACTAAAGAGGTATTGTTACCAAAGCTAGTGAAAATGATGTCTTGTTAGGTATTGGTCAATTAAGACTTTACCTAAGGATTTGAGAAAGGAAGATTTGAACAGTAGTGAAGGGTAAGTAGAATTTGACTGAGAAAAGGAGAGCATTATAATTAAGGGGGAATGACAAAGTGAAGCATAAAGGGAAGACCATGTTGTAACACTTTTGGCTGGAGTGGATAGTCTCTAAGTTGGATATAACAGTGAAATTTTTCTGAGGTCTGGAAAATAAATAGGTGAAGAATGAAGGTAGCCTGAATTGGTCTTCATTTGGCCACTTCCCCAGCTACCTCAGTAGTAGCAATTACTGTCACGCTTAGGGGTACCCTGAAGCACTGCTGTGATTCCTCAAAATCCTGCTCCCCTTCTTCTGGTTATACTTTGCAGGTAAGTTATAAAAGTTCACCTTTCTCAGTGTCATTGACCGACCAGCTTGAAGGTTTTCCAAGGAAATATTTAAAAAGAGCTTGATAGGATTTCCTGGAATGTTTTGGATGAGAGTTAGACTAATCTTTCAAACCAGTGGTTTGCTGGAGGAAAGAATCCTACCTGCCACTCATTTCCCATAGTGTTGGGGAGCTCAGGGACTTTGTCTGCAGCTTTTAAAAAATATTTTTTCTTTCCCTTAAGCTAAATGAAGTCTTTTTTTTGGTATTTTCTAACTTCAAGATGTTTTAAAACCCATTTTCTTAAGAAAAAAGTACTCTCGACCTTAATTTAGGAGCTGTTACTCTCAGGGACAATCAAGGACTGAGATGAAAGTAAGCATTTTAAATTCATTGTATCTGACCAAGGCCTGCATACAAAGCAACAATAAGCAAGTATTGTTTTCGCCTTGATGCTCATCCTAAACTCTGTGTGTGTATATTTGTAATTACTGTTTCATTCCTCTTCCCAGACAAAATCTTAAACTACAAAATGGTATGAATTTTGTTATAATACTTGTATCACATCATTACAATTCTACCAGGCTGTCAAGGTTTTATGAATGTTTAGGTCACTTAATAATATGTAGTTAGACACACACTGTAAGGCTGGGGATTAGCTCAGTGGTTCCGGCGCCTGCCTTGCACATGTAAGGTCCTGAGTTCAATCTCCGGTATCCCCCCCCAAAAAACCAAATCAAACACATACTGTAGCACTTGAATGCTTTAGTCCTATGTTTGTATAAAATAAAATGAATGCCCTAATTTAAAAAATGTTTATGTTCAAATTGTTTATTTTTAAAGGAATATGTATACTGGGATTCATAAGTGAAATGTCTTTGCATTTATTTTCCCAGTTGTATAACATTCTGTACACTCTTAGCAGGATTCATGGCAAGGTTCTCATTACTGGTTGCTCTATTTCAGTGTTCTAATCTCAAGTGTTATTACTTCTCTTTTCTTGTTTCTCCACATAAGTACTATTGGAGTCAGTGCATGTACTTCAAACTTCTTTTAGTAAGTTGCCAGTGAACTTTACATTTCAGCATTTCTTTAGTGTTTTCCAGTCTTATTTATTAAATACTTGTGTTTTTTGTACTGTACAGAGAGCATTTCACCCTGATGAATAGGTTTCAGTTGTAGCACGAGGTCTGATCAGTTGGTAGTAGTTGGTTTAGAGCACAGGTTTGAGAATTCTTCTTTTTTTCTTCCGACAGATCTTGCTGTGTAGTTCAGACTGACCAGCTGACCTTGAACTGACTGTGTAGCCCAGGGTGGCCTTGAACTTGGGGCAGTTCTCCTGCCCCAGCTTCCTGAGTGCTGGGATTATAGGTGTGCACCACTGCATCTGTTTTATTTTGAGAATTCTGAAATCTCTCTCTCTCTTTTTTTTTTTAGCAGAAAGTAGTACCTTAATTAGTGTTACGTGACCTTGAGGATTGGATGGAAGAGTGGTGACATATGTATTTATCAATCCTCAAAATAAAAAGAATAGTTATGAATGGGGATGTATGGGTACATTAACATTCCTTTGATTCATTACTTCATAGATGAAAATTACCTACAGTTTTTCTGAACCTGTTGAAGCAGCTTATAATTTTTTGTATTGTTATTCATTTTGACCCTTCTTTGCCAAAGCAGAATTAATTCCTTTATTATTGCTATAGTAGCTCTTTATTACCTTAATAATAACACTTCTCTCTTGTTAATCATTTACTTATTCCACTGTGGATAGTGAATATCCTAAAGGAAAGGAGACTATTTTATTTATATTCTTAATACATAACACTGTGCTGGTATGTGTCTTGTGTATGTTTTTTTGATGACTTATATGACCAATGAGATATTTACAGTGCTATATTTGAAGAGGAGGTGACTAGTTTTAAGTCTTAGGGTGGTAGTGGTGATGTGAATCAAAGTGAAGAGGCAGATGTTTTGAATGGAAATAGACAAGTTAAATGTTTTTTGGTTTTCTGGATACAAAGGTGTTGGAGTTTGAGTCTCCATGTTTGAGGGAATGATAGTACGTACCATTGGAAAAGTTGAGAAGGGTAGATTTGGGTGGGATGAATTTGGTTTTAGGGATGTCAGTTTTTAATTGAAAATATTTATTTAAGGCTGGGGTTTTTTGGCTCACTGATAGAATGTTTTCCTAGCATGTATGAGGCCCTGGGTTCTATCCCCAGCACCACAAAAACAAAACAAAACAAAATATTTTATTAATTGATTAGTTTTAGATGGAACATGGGAGTTAACCCATTTATGCTGAAGATTGTGATTTTTTTATTTTTGCATGGAATTCATGTACATTACCTAGAAAAATTTAAGGAACAAGAATTTAAAGAAAAAATTTTTTTATTATGTTCCATTGTTATAGTTGTGCCAAAAATGGAACACTTGGCATAAAAAGATTAAGGATTTCTTATTTGGCTAGTTGGATAGCTATCTTCTTCTGTTACTTCAGAACAGCCTGCCTTACTGAAATTGTTTCTTGTGTTTATTTTTCCCTTTAGACATCAATAAAGCAAGGAATATGTCTTGTTCAAGCTGAGTTCTCAGTTATATACAGTTGCTGGCACATGTTAGGCATTCAGTAAATAATTATTCAGTAGGTTAACTTATGCATCACTAGTTGACTTAAATGTTCCTTAAGGTAGCTCAAGTTAATGTGCAAATTAGAATTACTAGTTTTTAAATTACTTAGGTAATTACACAATCATAAGGATTTTAAACTTGTAGAGATCTTAGGAATCTCTGGCCGATCTTACAGTTAGATTTTGGAAAGGTAAAGTTAGCTACCCCAAGTCATTGGACTGCAGTCCATATCTAGCTATATATAGTATTTGCTGATGGATAGAGTCATTGAGAAAAATATGCCCATAGTACATGTCTTTCAGGCTAATAACAGATGGGATGTTGGCTTGGATGGACTTGTGGTGGTTTCATAGAATGGCTCTTCTTCTATTTTTAGTCATTTCTTGCTAGTACTTTGACCAGTGGCAGCATGAAAGACTAGAAAAGAAAGGAGGTTTTATTTATGCATGCTGGCCACATTAGTTTGTTGTTTTTTTTTTTTTGTTTGTTTTTTTTTTGTACTGGGGATCGAACTCGGGTCCTTCCACTTGCGAGGCAGGCTGCAGAACCACTAAGCTAAATCCCTGGCCCTTGGCCACATTAGTTTTTAAAAAAATATCTAATAATTAACATGGAGTTTGGGATAAACTGTTGATTTTGTTTCCTCCTTCCTTGCCCATGTTAGCCTGGTGAACTAAGTTGGTTTTAGGTTTACTGTTGTTTAATAATATAAATATTAATTTTAAACATATTCTTATGAGCTATTGGACTTTGTTTAAACACTATCGTTTGTAAAACAAAGTTTAGAAAAGGTGGATCCTGAGACCACAACCAGGAGATACAATTTTAAAATTTACACAGTTTGATTTTTAAGGAATGGATGTTGATCATCAGATTAAACATCCAGTAAATTATTTTATAGCCTCTTGAATAATGAGAATACACTTTTTGGGGGAGGGGGTACCGGGGATCGAACTCGGGTCCTTGCACAGTAGGTGGCGAAACCACTGAGCTAAATCCCTGGCCCCGAGAATACACTTCTGTTAGGAACAGATTACATTTCCTTAATGTGTGTTAGATTGATGTGTAATGTGTTTGTATGTGTATTCTTACTTGCTTTTCTTGTTTCAGTATCAAGATAAAGAGGAAGTTGTCTTATGGATGAATACTGTTGGGCCCTACCATAATCGCCAAGAAACATACAAGTACTTTTCACTTCCATTCTGTGTGGGGTCAAAAAAAAGTATCAGTCATTACCATGAAACTCTGGGAGAAGCACTTCAAGGAGTTGAATTAGAATTTAGTGGTCTGGATATAAAATTTAAAGGTAAGTAAACCTTAATAGTTCTTACCGTATGAGTTAGACTATAGACTGGTTAACTTTGGCACTTCTGACATTGGGGCCAGATGATTTTTTTTTTGTTATGCGGGGCCCTTGTGTTCATTGTAGGATGTTTAGCAGAGTAAATTGTTAACACAGCTATGTTTCCTTAACATATTTCTTCCTCCAAAGTGTTTTCTAGTGAACCCTCTAGTGATTAGATATATGTAAGCCAGGGAAGGCCCTCATAAATTTGTAATTTCTGGAGGTATGAGATTATACTAGTTTCTTTTTATTCATTGAAAAGGAAGTTTGTCCTTTTTATTTGTTCATTTCTTCTTTGTAAAAGAGAGTCTCTTTTGTATATGACTTGTACTCTGAGTAACATTTTGGCTTTTCTTTTAAGCTCATGATATTAAACATATTACCAATTGTTATTCTCTAATTATTTTGTTATGAAATTTTGTTTTATCTTTTCATAGAGTGCTTTTATATTTATTAATATCCACTTGTATTACATTAAAATGAAAATTTTAAAGAGATAATATGGTTATTAAAGAAATTTTGTGTAAACCCTCAAATTTAGATTTGTACTACTAACTCAGTGTGTGCTTATCAATGTATTAATATGCTCTCTGACCCCTATAAGATTCTGAAGTTTTAAGTCAAAGACTTGTAAATTTGGAAGAAGAAATCTTCATTTATGTATTATGCAGTTGTCTATCAGGTTCTTTGAGTGTGTTTATGCTTTTTGTTTTCCTCTGTGAAGTTTGTGAGAGTACGTTTCCTTCATAGGCCTTCTTAGCACCACAAACTAAAGCTTGAGTAATTGAATTTTTGCAGATATTTGATTAGGTGTCTTCCTTTTGAATAGAGTATGGATTTTTTTAATCTGGAGCTTTGAATTTTAGTTCCATTTCTTTTACAATTTTTTTTTGTTTTTAAGACTAGAAAGTGTTTATTGAGGGAAAGATAGTTTCTGTCTAAGAGTGACAGAAGGGGACACGGAAAGTGGGTTGCATCTCACATTGATTTTATTAAAGTTGTTTACTTCAGTTTTTTTTTTTTTTTTGTGGTACTGGGGATCGAACTCGAGACCTTGCGCTTCCGCAGCAGGTGCCGGAACCACTGAGCTAAATTCCCAGCCCTTACTTCCGTTTTGACCTCATTATTCCCATATGTAAAATGAATGTGTAACTGCCTTTTGATATTTTTTAGCACTTTGTAGAAAAAGATGTAAAATAAGATATCTTAAAAGTTAATTTTTCTTTAATTTTCATTTGCTAAATTTTCTTGTGATTTTTAGAATTTTAAAACATTGTGATTGGAAACAGGTATATATATTTACATTCTCTTTCTCTCCTTGGGGCTTAATTATAAAGTTAAGTTATAAATTTAGACTACAGTGGTGTGGCTTGTAATTTTATGAATAATTGTAAACATGCCCTAAGGCTTGTGTTTTAATCGGATGATTTAAATATTTAGTTACAAAAAAGGTGGAAACAAATTATATGTGATCTTTGAGAACCATAGTTTGGTTTTTTGAGGGTCTCGCTGTGTAGTTCAGGTTGGCTTTGAATTTTCTATGTAGCCCAGGCTGGGTTTGAACCTTCGCCTATCCTCTTGCCTCAGCCTCCTAAGTTCTGGGATTACAGGTATGTGCCATCATGCCTGGCTTGTTTTATTTTTTATTTTTAAACCTTGCAGAGTCTGTCAAGCTGAATGAATTAGCATTGTTTTGAAAATGAAGGTCACTAGAGAGACTATTTTAAGGAACTAATGATAGTTTAGGCCTAATGTCCTACGCCTCTCATTTAAGAATTTGTACAGTTTTTTCTTACATGCTAGTGTTAGACTAATTGAAGACAATTTAGAGAAAATACATAAAATGTATAAGGGTGGACTTAAATTAGGCATCTTTGAACTGGGCTTGAATTTATTACCCTCTTAATTTTAGAATGTACCTCTTAGAACCTTGCCTTTATAGAGTAGAAGAAACATGTGCTTTAGGTCAGAAAGACTGTAACCTGTCTTCTATGTACCTGTGGTTTTAGGCAAATTATTCATAGTCTTCATCTATGAAGTGTGGAAAATAATATTTACTTGATAGAATCATTGTCAGATTTAAATGAGATAATATATTTAATCAGTTTCAGGATACATAGCCATGAGAGAAATAGTAATTTTTATGATGATTACTGGCCCCATGGTATGGGCCTATAATTCCAACTTGATTTTGTATAGCAGTTATGAAAGAGTGAAATTAATTTATTGATGATAGAATTTGATTTATCCCCAAGTTGCTGCACTACTCTTGTGGTCCTTCCAGCATAGGGGCAGTATGTTCTTGTTCATTATTATATCTCTTGCAAGTAAGAGATAGTAAGTTCTTAATAATCTAATACCCAGATGGTTTATGCCTACTTGTTCTCATATAATTGATTGGTTCATTTTGATTGTTAGGTGATCTGGAATAGTAATTCCTAGCTAGCGGAGGTCCCTGCTCAGGGCCTTTCCCTAATTTGAGAATCCTGAAATACAATAAAACATATTAATCTTTGAAAATCAATGACTTGTGGAGGAGTCCTTCCTTCCATTTGTTTTATTTATCTTTCCTTGAGTTTTACTTTGAATATTCCATCTTAATAGAGGGGTAAAATTATTATACAAGTATTTTCTTGTTATCTAGAGTGAAGTGCTGAGACTACTGGAGATAGGGAGAAATGCCAAGGCCTGCTTAGAGCCTTACATATTTCTAGTTCAATAATTCTTCAGTTTGGCTCTTTTGATCCTCAGTATGGGATATTTCCATCTATAGATCTGCTTGGATGGTATAGGCCTGACTGCCGGAGGGTGGGGAAAAGGGCTTAGAGGAATGGCAGGCCCTCTTATTCAGAGGAAAGAGTTTTACCTAAAATCATTCCCCACTCTGTTTTCATCCTATCTTCTTTTCCTGTTTTGGATCCTCAAAAGTTTTCTAGAGGAAGGTCTGCCTCTGGTCTACTGCAGGGGATAAGTTGAGGGTATTTATTTAGTTGTATGAGGGCACTTGGGCATCCGGTCCCTCCATGTAAGTATCAGCATGCAGTTCCCTTTGTGTTCAGCCCTACATCTGTCCTGTACCTTTCAAGTCTTGGGTGCCTCCTCAGTGTCTTTTTTGAGTTCTGTGACACCTGACCCCTTCCTTCTTCAGGTATCTTAGAAAATGTGTTATGTTTCCCCCAATTTATGTGGCATTTATCATCTTTCATTTTTTTCCATTTTTCCAAAATTTGTTGAAATCTTTTCTCTACTGTCTTCTCTTCTTTCTGTCATGGTGAACTAACTTTTTTCTTTTTTTAAAATTCCTTTACTGATATTTTGATGCATTTCAGGAGGGGGAAGAAACATACTTATGGTTAAATCTGTCTTGTTTAATTGGAAGCCTGGAAACTTGATGAAATATTTTGTCCTGTTGGTTTCAACTAGTGTTTTAGCCAGACCAAATAATTAAACATGAAATTAGTCAGTTGTTTGTATTATATTTTTTATTTATTATTAGTGATTCTTATATTGCCTGCAGATTTGATGAGTATTGTTTTTTTATAAGTCCTTATTTGTACCATTTATAACATCATTCCCCTCCAGATTGACATCTTTATTCCCCCCAAAAGGAATGTATATGCATTATTTTCTGATTTTAACAGTGATATAGTTTTAGTGTACACAATTTAGTATATATAGAAAAATATAGAGAGGAAAATAAAAATCATCTGGATATAATTACCATTGTCATTTTGGTATACTGTATTTTTTTCAATTCTTCTTTTCCTTTCCATTCATCCATATTGCTTTAAAATATATAAACGTTAAGTTTGTTTCATATGTATGTTTTAAAAAAGTTTAACAGATCTTTATATTGTTTATGTACCAGTGTTGTAAGCATTTTTTATTTAATAAGTTAGTTTTTATCCTGCTTATTTTTTCTTAAAATTTTGAGTTTATATTGTTAATTATTCTTCTAAATAAGGCTGCATAGTAGTCTACAACTTTAATACTATAATTTTTCTTCATTCCCTAGTTGTAAATATTTTAATTGGCCTTCCCTTCCTCCCTCTCTCTTCTTTCTCTCTCATGTCTTTTCTCTCTCCTTCCCTCACTTCTTTCTTTTGTTGTTTTTTCTCTTTCTCTTTTTTCTGCTACTACAAATGACAAAGTATTTGGCTTCTCTTATGCATAAGTATTTTATGATTTCTTTTTTTTTTTGTACCGGGGATCGAACTCGGGTCCTTGCGCTTACGCAGCAGGCGGCGAAACCACTAAGCTAAATCCCTGGCCCGATTTTACTAGGATAAATTCTTAGATACAGAATTACCAAATTAAAGGTTGTAAACATTTAAAGAAAGTTTTTGATACTTAGTACTGAATAGCCATTTAACAAAAATTGCAGTTTATGTCACCAGTCAGGTTGATCAGTTAATCAGTACTCTTAGTTTTCAATTAACTGTAAATATACCAGTTTATCTAGTCCGTATTTTCTTTTAATTCATTTGGTAGTTGTTGAGTGCCTAATTGCATTCCAGCACTAGGTAAGCTCTGAGTATACAGAGTTCAGCCAGGAGCTCTGGCTTCAGGGGTTCATAGACCCTCTGATACTGTACACTTAATTTTGTATGCATGTGCATTTTTTGGAGGGGAAAGAGAGATATTACTTTGGTCAAATTCTCTAAGGGGTGCAAGACCAAGGGCATTTAAGAACATGGTGAAGAATACATCAGTATTTTGAGTTCATGAAGCTTTGGGAAGGAGGTAGTGCAGATGTTTTTGTTTTATAGTTGAGGGAACTGACAGGTCCAATGAATTACTTTTTTTCATGTAGCTAAATAAGTGATGATCTCAGACTGAAACTCATTTCTGCCTACTTCTATACATGTTGGTAGGGATTTCATGAAAGACTTTGCTAAATGCTGCTGAATTTGAAGTAGAGTATTTCTGACTTTTCAAGTTAGTAATGTAGTAAAAAAGCATGAATATTTATCACATTCTTAAAGTTTTGTTACTCGTCTGGAGTAGTACAGGAATTGAAACATTGAAGCTTAGTGTCCAGACTACCAAACCTTGCCTGTTGTTTGAACTTGCCAGTTCATAACTTTGGTGTTTTATTCCCACCCCCCAAAAAGTATTTATATTGGTGTTTTGTGTTTTTGGGTTTTGTTTGTTAGTGGTACTGGGATTGAACCTTAGGGCCTTCACACTGAGCTACATCCAATTAAAAAAAATTTTTTTTTAATTTTTATTTTGAGACAAGGTATTGTTAAGTTGATAAATTACCCAGGCTGGGCTCAAACTTGTGATCCTCCTGTCTAGAGTTCTGGGATTATAGGCATGTGCCACCACACCTGGCTACATTGGTAAAATCTTAATTTCTTCTTCTTCTTCAGAACTCATAGGTTGTTGCTTACCTGAGAAAGATATGTCCTATTATAATTTTCAAGCCATAACTTATGGTGGTTTTCCAGATTGTTTTTCAGTTATTTATAACGATGAACAGTGAGTTGGCATGTTTATATACATTGCATTAGATTTCTTCAAATCAGCTTTCTTCTGAGAGAATTGATGTTTCTGTGGGGCAACTAGATTTTTTAGTTATCTGTGATGTTGCATTGCCTACATGCTTAGAAGAGGAATTTCATTAAAACACGACCATTCATTACCCTTTATACAACTTGCCATGTTAGATTTTTCCCATTTACCACATTTCATTCCTAGATTTTACATCAGTGAAACATATTCCTCAAGACTTCTTGCCAATCCTGGTGAGAAATTGCTTAAAAATTCCATTTTATATTGACCTTTACTTCTACAACAACATATACACACACCCCATTCATACACAGATGCGTGCATATGTGCATATTCATAGTGATTCTTTTGCAAAATAAATGGAAAAACTATACTCTTAAAATTTGTGAGAATTTTTTCTTTGTATTACTCTGTAGGGTACTGAAGCAGGAATAGCTGGGGATTAAAAGGATGTAGTCAGTTACAGACAACACCCTCAAGGTCTCAGGTGATTTGAAGGAGCTATCATGCTGGTTCCTACACTCTATTAGGGAGATATGGAGAAAAAAACCAAGGGACTTTGGAGAAAGGAGCAGACTGTGAGAAGTGGGGATCTGGGACTACTCTGGGGAGGAGGGGATGGGATGGGAAAGATTTTAGAAGTGAAGTTAACAGCGCAGGCAGAGTCCAGAGGCCAAGAGAGCAGAAGGTATGAGGGAACTGCGGGAAGTTAGGTTGGAATGTAGGGAGAGAGGATGATAGATCTGTTGGGAAACAGTTGAACTAGAGTTCAGACTGTGAGAAATCCTTTTTTTTTTTTTTTTTGTACTGGGGATTGAACTCGGGTCCTTGTGTTTGCAAGGCAGGTGGCAGAACCACTGAGCTAAATCCCCGGCCCTGTGAGAAATCTTTTAGAAGCTGTGTACAGGTAAATGTCATACTGTATAGCTCAGAACTTCATCTTTAAAACTACCACATTGTTAATGACCATTATAAACATGTCTTATAACAGCAAGGAATTTATTGGCTTTGCAGAGGTAATTGTGAGTTCTACAACTTCCACTTCAGCCACTTGCCACACTCTAAGCCTGAACCTTCCTTTTGTTATGGTTGTCCTCTGTGGATGCAGTTGCCTGCTGCCCTTTATTCATTGTTACACTCTATGAAGTTCTCATTTGGGGACCACATGCTGACAGTTCTTGCTCTTGTGGGAATCCTTTATAGCATCATATTTCCTAACTGTCCTTTGCTTCACTCCTCAGCCTGTTTTTAACCTTAGGAAAATCCTAAATTCCTTGCTGCCCTAGAAGGGATTGGATAGAAAGAAAATCTCTGGAGGATTAGATATGTTGTGGATTATATTTGAATTATAACTCAGATTGCTCTTTCTTATGAAGAAATAATGTAGGGAAGGGGTCTAAGGGAACAAGGATGAGGGGTGAAGAGGAGGGGAAGGGGAAATAAGTAGAATAAAGATATGCCATGTACAGGAACCTAATAACTTCAATGAATGTAAACATTATATGCCATAACATGAGCTAAGATTAATATCAATAAGAATGAAAATCTGAGATAGGAAATTTGAAGAGGGGTGAAGGGGATTAAAAAAGGAAACAGGTTGTGGTATGTACATGTACCCACTTCCCAAGATGACTGTAAACTGCATGTACTGCAAACATACTAAAAAAAAAAAAAATAATGTGAGAGGGCTGAGGATGTAGCTCAGGGGGATAGCACCTGCCTAGCAAGTGCGAGGTCCTGGGTTTAATCTCCAGTACCAAAAAAGAAAATGGGAAAAGTAATGTGAGAGGTAGCCATAAAATTGGTGATTCAACTACAGTTGAGGTTGAAGTTTTAATCAGTTTTTAAGATTAAGGTTCAGGAAAGTTGCATTTGAGTTCTAAATAACCGGTATTATAATTTAAGAGAATTTAAAACAAAACTGTACTTTTTTATTCCTGTTAAGATTGACTTATTTTTTTTCCTATTGCTTAAGTAATACACTGTGTTACTTACCGTTTTCTCTCATTGCTGAGACAGAATACCCGACACCCAAAGTTAGAAGGGAAGAGGTTTATTTGGCTTACAGTTTGTAGAGGTTTCAGTCCATAATCAGTTGACTCCAAGACAGGGATGACAAACAGGCATGGCAGAGCAGAAACAACATGGTGCACACAAGGCACAAAAGTAAAAAGAGAGTTTAACAGCGTCTTTCTGCCCCTTTTATCTTATTCAGACTACCAGGACTAGGGCAGTGCCAAACTAATCACTCACACCTAGTGGTTTAGTAATCACATGTCCTTAACCCAGCATCGCACATTCCAGGTTCAGATACTTCTGAAGAAGAAAATCCTGCCTCATCCAAATGAGGCTTTGCGGGGGACATCTAGACACAAGCCATAACATATACCAAATAGTTTAATCTGTTTGCTTGCCATTTAGAGTATTTGTAGGTTTAGGGATTTTGTTTTGTTAGAAACATAAGCATATTTTTGAAACAGACTTACAAGCTAAAGACCATCTGAACAGATTAATAATGGTATTTTTGAAAGTAGTTAAGAGTGGAAATGATTCATTTGTAGGAAGACTTTCAAGTAATTTAGGAACAATGATACCTTTGAATCTAATTATGAAGAATCACTGGGATTCCTCATAGAATCTATGGCCCTTGTATTTCTAAGAATGTTAAAGTGAATGTTAATCTCAGAAATCTTCTAGACATTATTACCTCTCTGTTTAGGATCATATTTGTCAGATTTCATATTTGTTAATGGAAACCAAATCATATTAAGCTTTTTATTTTTATTTTTTTAAATCAATTTGTTTTAATGTTACTTGATCGATATTGTAAAAATTATTTTATGTAGGGAATTTTTTCACTTAGGTAAAGATAATCTTTGAAAATATTGTTAAAATTCTTTTATTGTAAGACAAATACAAAGATACATAAGAGGAAAAGATAGTATACTGAACCCCCATGTATTTATCACCCAAACTCAACTATTATACATAGAAATTTTAACTTCAGGAAATACTGGGGTTTTTTTCTTGTGTTTTCTTATGACTGTTTTGCAAGCCAGTGGGCTAATTTGCAATTTTTATTTTATGCAGATGATGTTATGCCAGCTACTTACTGTGAAATTGACTTAGATAAAGAAAAAAGAGATGCATTTGTATATGCTATCAAAAATCACTATTGGTACCAGATGTACATAGATGACTTACCTATATGGGGTAAGTATTATACGTAATATTTAAGATTGAGAAGTATTTGCATAATGAACAACATTCATATTATGACTCTGTTAAGGTAATTATACACTGGATCATGATGTCACTGTTTTTACTGTCCTCCATAAAATGATTTTAATACTGATCTTATAGTTCCCTTTTACTTGAAGGACTTTGGCTATTGCCAAGCTTTACATGAAGCTCCTTCAAAATATAACTTGTATACAGTATTAAGTTTTTAAGATTCTAGGAATTAAAAGGTGCTTGGAATAATCTGAAATATCTTTTGCTTCCAATTTTGTCACACTTTATATTAACTTGTTCTTTGAAAGGGACTATGTAAATAGAATTTTAAAGTTTAATTCTGCTTTTTTTCATTCAGTACTGTGGTGTGGTTTTTGGATATGATAATTTCTCAAATGGCTTGTTTTACTAGTTCCTGCTATTCTCTGAAACTTTCAATACTTAAAAAATTTTTGTTGTAGTCTTGCTTATCCATACCATAGAGAAGAAGAAGTATGGCTCTTTACATTTCTTTAACACATAACACTTGATTAAATTCTTTAAAATACAAAGCTTAGCCAACTAGATAGTCAACATTTTTCTCTTCATAATCCCACCTCCCCCTTATGCTCCTGGCATCTGCTGTTATATATGCTATCATTCATATTCTTCTAATTCTTAAAATTGTTAGCAGACTGTTGATGCTCATGAGAAGCAAACTGAAGCCCTGAACATATCAGATCAGAGTTTAATATTGTACTTGGATGAAATTTGTAAGATAGTTCATCCCAGAAGATAATTGTACATGCATCATTGTTACTATCTTGTATGTTAGATATATAGTAAGCATTTCATATAATGATTGTAATTAGTGTTATGGCAACACAGGTATTTTTGTGATCATCTCTGGGGGGATAGCATGAAGATTTGCCAACTATTTACTGAAGATTTTTGAGTCTGTAGATCAGGAGAATCCAGTAGGCTAGGCTTTCTTCATTTTTGGTAAGAGAGCAGGTTTCTCCCATGTCTTTTCTATTGCTTATAAGTTTCTTGTCTGAATCCTCAGGTTTTCTTTTCTTTCCTTTTTTTCTTCCTGTCACTACAATATATCTCTTTTAGCAACAGTGACAACTGTGCTTTCTTGCCTTAGAATAAAAATATTTAGCCCTAGAATTTCAGGGTCTGCAATGTTTGGGAAGATATTTGCATGTCTTAGAACAGCTGAACCATGGAGAATCCTTACCAGAAAAATATTACAATCTGACTTTTAGGGGGAGTAAAGTTTTCAGAATCTTTCAAAACCATCTTAGAGAAAAGCTTTGGTGTCTTTACCCTCAAAGTCTGCTTTTCAGAGTAGATAAGTAAATACAGTTTAATGAAATTAATTATTAGGATTTTCTTATTCCTCTACAACCCCAAGCAGCAAAACTTACTCCTTGAATTTGTACCAGTTAGGGACTCACTTTGTTTAATTAACAAATAACCCTTTATAAGAAATTATTTTTCCCTCATTTTTTAATGGGATGCATTGACCATAAAGAAAAGGCCCTGAGAAGTAATTTGTAGAACATAAAGCTCTTGGAAAGTGTAGACTTTAGTGGGGAACACCGGGCAAATAGCTGACAGCTTGAAGATCTCACACCTTCTAATAGCTCAAATCATGATTAAAGCGATCATTTTAAGCTATTGCCTCATTACCATTTTATCTTCAACACTTGTTCCAATTTGATGATTTCCCAGAGACAGGTTCCATGCCTGAGGCACAAAGAGGAGGCATATTTTAAGTATTGGTCATATACACATGTGGGTTAGAGGGGCATACATGCACAGGCATCTTTGTAGGAACAGGTAGATGATAGGTTATTGGAGAAAGCAGTGGACTGAGCCTCTGTAAACCTTGGTTATAATTATAGCTTGATCACTAGTAGCTGGGTAACCTTGGTAAATGGTGATATCTCATTTCCTTAAAATTTTGAGATGTTAAGGAGTATGGACGTATAAAGTGACAATTGTTGCTGTGGAGGTAATAGTAATGACAAAGTGTGAACATGGAGGATCAAATTTATGACCACTTATGCTGAGCTTTCATCATTTTTTCACCACGGTGTGTCTGGAAATGTCCATGGTGTTTGTTAAGTACTAGTCAAACCAGTATAAAAATTTTTAATAAATTTATAGCTTTGGAATGTTTTCAATCCTAAGTGATACTATCTTCTATGAAGTATTTTTTTCTTTTATAGGTATTGTTGGTGAAGCAGACGAAAATGGAGAAGATTACTATCTTTGGACCTATAAAAAACTTGAAATAGGTTTTAATGGAAATCGAATTGTTGATGTTAATCTAACTAGTGAAGGAAAGGTGAAGCTGGTTCCAAATACTAAAATACAGATGTCATATTCGGTAAGTATTAAAATATAGTATGTAGGAAGAAGTGTTTGTGATTGTGTTTTGGAGCTTTAGTAAATGAAAATGTAGAGCTGGGCATGACGGTACAGGCATGTAATCCCAGCATTCAGGAGGCTGAGGGAGGAGGATCATTGCAAATTCGAGGCCAGCCCCACCTACATAGTGAGTTGAAGACCAGCCTGAACTACATAGTGAGACCCTGTCTCAAAAAAACAGAAAAAAAGTAAATGAAAATGTAGTGTGAAATTGCATGTAACAGAATACTATATTAAAACTATATATCCTTAGTATAAGCCTCTTAAAAGCAAGGAGATGTGTTTCAGGTCTGTGGTATTAGTTACTAGTAATGCATTTGTAGGACTGACCATTGTTCTGACAACATTTACCATTGTAATTGGGCAGGTCAACTAACCCAAGCCATGTATTTAATGGTTACACATTTAGATCACAATACTTGAAACATTTTTAGTTTTTTTTTATTTTGTTTTTTGTTTTACTCTTGCAGATAGAGATGAAAGTTGCTGGAATGAAATAATTTACTGTGGTTTGCTTTATCTTTTGGAAAGATGTACTTTTGCAGAGTAAGAGCTTGTCAGGGCTGTTTAGCAGCTGTCAAATTTATTATGTTGTGTTAGGCTTAAAAGTGGTAGAAAGAGGGCCAGGGATTTAGCTCAGTGGTTCCGCTGCCTGCCTCAAACCCACCGCCTGCCTCAAAAGTGCAAGGTCCTGAGTTCAATCCCCGGTACCAAAGAAAAAAAAAACAGTGATAGAATAAGAGAAATCCAGTGTAGGTAGCCTCTTTGCCAGTTACTGTCCTGGTAGCTGGAATTGAGTGCATCACTTGTAGCCAATTTTGGAAGTTTTTAAAGCTTTATGTATGTGTACCTAGTGCAAATAATATTTATATAACTAAACTTACAGAGAATGTTGACTTTTGGTAATAAAAATAATGTGCTCTGAAGATAAAGATGTACAGATTTTTATTTTAATTAGTTTAAACACTTGTGACGTGAGCTTCTATTAATTTAGTTCTTCGTACAACTATCAGGTCAGGGTATGTCAGCCAAAAATAATGATAGTCCTTGAAAACTGAAATGATTCCTCTAAGGAAAGTTGTGAGTTTTGTTAATACATAAAAAAGAAATTTAGTTAGTTTTGTCATACTTGTTTCAACTTCTCAAACTGTCAGTAACTTTTGCCATTTCTGTACTTAATTTTAATTCTGAGTGTATACAGCTGAATTTTACACAGACTTTTGTCATCGAATTATTCATTTGTTTACTAGTCTTGACTTTCAAATGAAAATTTTTTTCAGGTAAAGTGGAAAAAATCAGATGTAAAATTTGAAGATCGATTTGACAAATATCTTGATCCATCTTTTTTTCAACATAGGGTAGGTAAATAGTCCCATATATTTTAAGACATTGTATATGTATGCAAATCAGTTTCACAAACACTGAGCATCTCTTTTACATAAGGGACTTGGGGATATGGATTTCAAGATTCAGTTAATGGTGATTTCAGATGAGAGCTTTGAGTCATAAGGGTGGTAAGGGAGTTTTAGAGGAACAGTCAAAAGGTTGCCTTCATTGTGCTATGTTTTCCACACCCCACCCCACCCCCGGTACTGGGGATCAAACTCAGGACCTTATGCTTATGAGGCAGGCGCAGCACCACTGAGCTAAATCCCCAACCCCATTGTGCTATGTTTTAAACCAATTAAGACATACATGAACAGTACACTATGTGGGAGACCAAAATAACACTTTTATTACTAATGATACTAATATTTGAGATTGTAGCTTATATCCATGGTCAGATGGGCTTCTTGCTACTGAAGCTTAGAATTAGAGTTAACATATTCAGTGTTGGACTATTATAGGCTTCCTGATAGGGGCACCTGCCCTTATAAAACTTACAGTGTGAAGAAACAGCAGAATGCATCCATTGTAATGGAATGAATGAGAGATTGGAGTGAGGCTATGAATTTTTGCAGGAGGAAATTTTTCTACATCGAAAGGAACATCAAGCTAAGCATGGTGATGCATGCCTATAATCCCTGCACTCAGGAGGCTGAGGCAAGAGGATTGCTGTGAGTTTGAGGCCACCCTGGTCTACATAATGAGTTCAAGGCCAGCCTGAGCTACATAGCAAGTTCCTGTCTCAAAAACCAAAAAAAGAAAGAAAGGAAAAAAAAAAAAGGAACATCAAGACTGGAAAGAAATGCCTCCCACATCCCTAACCTCCCACCAACAGAAAAAAGCTGGATCTCAGCTCTCGCTGGCATTGGTGGCATTGGTACCAGTTGTGCATAGGTAGCTTTGGCTTATCACAACAAATATAGGCCTTATTTTGGTGGTTCCTTTCTTTGAGGATAGAGATAAAAAATTTATAAAGTATAAGGGGATATATCTATTTTTCTGAATATCTTCCTGAATTACTTCATCTTTCTTTTGATACAATCTTTGAGCTGGAATTTTGAAGTTTATTACCTAGTTTTGATTTGGTCCATAAGATTTTATGGTCTCAGATTTATGTCAGTGCTTCTAGGTTCCACTAGAGCTTATTACTAATTATAATCTTCCTCAGGGTCCTAGGATTTAAAAAAAATTAAGCTATATGGGATTTAATTCTCACTGAAGGATTTAGCTCACTTCTATTGGAGATACACTTTTCTCCTCCATTTCTCTTCATGCATGGATGCTCCTCAGGTATAATTAGTCTTAGTCCTCAGTCTAGGAATCCAGTTACAGGTATGGTCACAGACCAGCTTGAAGTTTAGATAATATTTGAGAATGTGAGGGCTCTCAACAGGTATTCCCTATTGGAACTTCACATCTGTCTTGTTTTTTTAATCCCATTGGGTATTGAGGACTTGGAGGAAACATTGCCTTCTAGCATTTTTACTGCAGAAGAGTGTACCATGTTTATTTTTCAGTACCCATTAATTGAGCATGTGTTTTAGAAATGTCTTTTTTTGTACTGCGGATCGAACTTATGTCCTTGTGCTTGTGCAGCAGGTGGCGAAACCACTGAGCTAAATCCCGAGTCCTTAATTGAGCATGTGTTGTGTGCCAAGCAGTGTCCTAGGTAAACAGGTCACATTAGAAAATAAAAGACAAAGATCTATGCCCTCTTGGAGCTTACGTTCTATTCTCATAAGTAACGTAGACTGTGCTTGAAGTACATTGAACAAGAAAAGAGCAGTAGAGCAAGACTATCACAGGCGTAGTGAATTGCAGTTTTAAAACTGATAGGCTGAGTCTTTAAGAGGAACTTGTGAGCAGAAGCTTGAAAGTTGAGGGAAATAAGAAATGTAGATATCTGAAGGAAAAGATATTGGAGACAACACCATTGGAAAGCCTGTTAAAAGTGGGAACACACTTGTAGTTATTTGAGGGATAGGAGGAAGATTAAGTCAGAAGGGTAGTAGGAACCAGATGATCCATGGCCACTATAAATACTTTGGATTTTACTCTTGAATGCAAAAGGGTTGGGGGATCATTGTAAGGGAGAGTTCCTGGGGTCAGTAATAAGAGTTGAGGGAGAAAACTAACTTTAACTAACCTAGTTAAAGACTTTGAAGAAAAAATATAAAAATGTATGGTATTTTGAAAGCCAAGAGAACAAAGCAATTATGGAGAATAGAGAAATTAATTCTAAATGGTAGCTGGTGTATCAGTATGATGTGTTTAGTCAGCTTTCTTTTACTCTAATGAAATAAGTGAGATAATCAGCTTACAGAGAGAAAGTTTCAGTCCATGATTAGTTGGCCATAATGCTTGGAGTCTCTGGTGAGGCAGTGTATCATGGTGGGAAGCATGTGGTAGAGCAAAGCTACTCACCTTTTGGCAGAGAATCAAGAGAGATACAAAAAGGGATAGAGTCTAACTGTTCCCTTTGAGAAAAGTCTCACAATTTGCTTTTGAGGCAATACCCTCCAATGATTGGAGACTTCCCACTAGGCCCTGTCTCTCAAAGTTTCCACCATCTCACATACAGTATTGCTAGATTGGACACTGAGCCTTCAACACATGAGCCTCTGGGGAACATTCCTGATCCAAACTATAGCATATGATGATGCATACTGAAAAGTGACTATTGGAGTCATTTAAAGTTATTGGTGAACCTGACAAAGTGTGACTTTAGTGTAACAATGGGTAAAAATCTGAATGGAGCCTACTGTAATAGGGGAGAGGATTGGTGACAGGAAGTACAGGTTTTGTTTGTTTCTTTTTTGTGATAAGGATTAAATCTGGGGCCTTTGCACTGAGCTGCATCTCAGCCTTTTTTACTTTTGAGACCTGATCTCGTTAAGTTACTTAGGCTTGGCTCCAACTTGTGATCCTCCTGCCTCAGCTTCCCAGAGTCTTGAGATTATAGGCATGAACTGTGGAAGTACGATCTTGTGATGAGTTTGGCCGTAAGAGGGAGCCAAAAAATGGTGTAGTGGCCTGTAGAGAAGACAGAGTCAGGAGATTTCTTTTAAGATATAAGAAAAATATGTTTATTTGCCAGTGGGGTTAGTGGTGAGTATAAAACTATCAAGGCAGGTGAAAGAGGAGGGAGTTATCATAGTGTTTTTCTGAAGAAGGTGGGAGAGGATGGAATCTGCTGTGTAAGTGTAGCATTTGTTTCTAACTCATTGACTAGAAGCACAGCTAAATCCAATTCTGGCCCTGCCATTCACTGACCTGGTCAAATGACTGAGATTTTCAGCTTCTTTTTCCTTAATAGTGGAGGAAGGATCCTAATAGCATGCAGAGTTATAGGGAAGTTTCTCTTTGATGCTGTTCATAAGACATTTAGTTTGGGGTTGGCACGCAGCAGGTGAGGCAGTGGTATTAGTATATTTTGTTGTTCATCTCCAGTTCTGTCCAAAATTGGTGACGGATGGAGGGTACGGTTCTAGCATTAGTAACACTAGGGGGTGCTGGAGTGCAGCAGTTAGGGTCAGTGACCGCTTTGTGATGCCAGGATTCTTTATTATTTTTAGGAAATGTTTTTCCTGGGGTAAAAATTGCAAAATCATACTACATTTCCAAATTTTTAGAATAAAGGAATGTAAGTGTCAGTCCATTGGTATTGGATTTTAATAGGTTTTGGTTTAAAATTTGTATCTTAGATTAGAAGATAGCTGTATTAGAAAAGTTTGCAGTTTGAAAATTTAGATTTATTTTTACCTGAAACATAAACATAAAATACGTATTTATTAGGTACCATGTGATGTTATAATACGTGTATACATTGTGTAGTGTTTGAGTCAGGGTAAAAATCTCTCTTCAGACATTTATCATTTCTTTATGGTGCAAACATTTGAAGTCCTTTTAGTAACATAGTACATTGTGTATGACCATACCACCCTCAACGCGCCCGATCTCTTCTGATCTTGGAAGCTAAGCGGGATCGGGCCTGGTTACTACTTGGATGGGAGAAATATAGTACATTATTGTTATCCGTAGTCACCCTACAATATAATGGCATATAAGAACTTCTTGCTCTCATGTAATGTAACTTGCACCTATTAATCAATTTTTTCCATCCTTTTCTGCTCCTACTCTCCTCACCCTCCCTCTGGTAGCCACCATTCTCCTCTCCATTTATGAGAGATCAACGTTTTTAGATTCCATGTATGAGTGAGATCATGCAATATTTCTTTTTTTTCATTTTTACATTACTGGGGAGTGAACCTAAGGGCTTTGCACTAATAGCCACACACACACGCACACACATACACCCTTCCCCATTTTTTAGTTTTTATTTCGAGACAAGGACTCACTAAAATGCCCAGCCTGGGCTCAAACTTGTGATGCTTCTGCCTCAGCCTCCCAGAATGCTGAGATTACACAGTACCCCCACCCCCTCCCCGACCTGTGATACTTGTCTTTCTTTGCCTGGCTTATTTCACTTAACATAATGATCTCCATTTTTGTCCATGTTAGAAAGTTTAGCATTTTAGGTGTATCTTTCTTTCTTTCTTTTTTTGGTACTGGGGATCGAATTTGGGTCCTTGTGCTTGCAAGGCATGCGGTGGAACCACTGAGCTAATTTCCCGGCTCCCAAGTGTATCTTTCTTATTACTAAATATAACAATAAAATTTCTCTTTAAAAATTTGATTAATTGGCTAAAAGAAGATATATTATATTTTTCTTTTTTCAAAAACTTTTTCTAGGTTATTAATTTCCTAAATGGGAACAAAATGAAATCCTTGGAAAAGTCTTGTCATTATAGAGTGCTTTTATAAATCTTAGGAGACACTTTTATGATAAATTCATATACCCTTTAGGGGCAGACATTTAAAAATATAATTTATTCATTGTTTCCTATATGATTTTGGTAGATGTTCAATAAATAAATAGTTGATTAAAGAAAAATGATTTTGGGCCGGGGATTTAGCTCAGTGGTTTCACCACCTGCTGTGCAAGCACAAGGACCCGAGTTTGATCCCCGGTATCAAAGAAGAAAGATGATTTTATAAAGGCAGAATCAATTGTCTGCCTTCTTTTCAGGAAGAGCTATAGAGTTGTGTCCTTTCCTTGAAGCCTCAGTGCAGGTAGCAGAGCCAGAACTGCCCTTCACCGTGGTGCACCTCCTCAGCACATTAGCCCTAGTTAGTTAAAATCTCTCATAATTATGCAGGACAATAAACTGTATATTGTTTTCTGTAGATTGGCATGTAGAATTTTAGAGCAGGAAGATTTTTGTGAAGAACTGGAAAATGTAGATGGGAGGTTTTATGGAGATAAGAGCACTGCTGAAGTTGGAATTTAAAGAGTAGGTAAAATTTATGAAGGATAGAAGTAGGTCCCATTGAGAAGAAATTATGAAAAAATAAAAAGATGAAAGTTAGTAAGCTGTATTTGTGGGTCGCTGAACAGGAATAGGCCTGTTTAGGATATATAGTATAATGGAAAGAAAGGTTGACTAGAGAAGATGAGTTGACCATGGTCATGTGGAATATAGACTATTAGGGAAATAGTTTAACTTTGATATGAAAGAAGTAGGGTATATCACTCTTAAGTTTTGGAGAAGTGATGTATGAACATGATATTTCAGAAAGGGTAATACCATTAGCAGAAATTAGAGAATCAGAAGTGAGTGCTATATGTGAGGGAAGATTATAAGTTTACTGTAATCATTCAGGCAGTCTGAATTTGAAATTCCAGAAAGGTATTCAAGTGTAAATTATTGTAGTTAACAAAGGTCTGAAACATGAGAGAGAGGGCAGGCTAGAGATTAGGGCAGGGTGGGGACAAGGAGTGGAGGGTGTCATCATTACAATGCTCCTTATAAGTTCTGAGAGTCCAAGCGGTCACAGCAGAGTACTAAAGCCTGGGACTTTTGGAGAAGTTCAAAGAGGATGGGAGGAAAGGCATAGAAGATGAAAGAGGGGAGGTCGGATGGGAAGGTGTTAAGGAAGGTCAGTGTGGCAGAGAGATCAAGGAGAGGGAATGGATGATTGACTGCTGAATCCGTTTAGAAGTTCATTGCAGGCCTTTGAGATAAATTTGGGGAGGACAAAAGTAACATGCATTGTATTTTGGAGGAAGTGAGGAAAGGAATGGAACATGTAATTATTTGAAAAGTGTTGACATTGAAAGGGAGATGAGACCAAAGATCAGAAGAATGAGAGAACAGAAAGTCAGATATTTTGAAAGATGATAATAATAACACTAACTTTCAGATTCTGTTTCAGTGTTTTGGATATGCCTGCCACTATCCTTTGTGGTTATTATCCTATTTAAACTTTATGACAACTCCAAGGGTAGATACTGTTATAATTGAAGACCTTTGGAGATTGTTAATGGTGGAGAAAGGTGAAGGTTTAGGGGAGCAAAATAAGAGGGGGGAAAACACCTCAAAGTGAATGAGATCTATAACCTAGAGCAGCGATGGTAAACCGTTTAGAGACTGAGTGCCCAAACTGCAGACCAAAACCCACTTATTTATTGCAAAGTTGCCAAGGCTGCAGTTAAACCTGAATGCTGCTCTGATGGGGTGACTTGGCTCACAGGCCAACAGAGAGGGATCTGTGTGCCTGCTGCAGCACTTGTGCCATAGGTTCACCACTGGCATAGAAGAAAGATTGACTTCAGAAGGGAAATTGCTTCTAGGAGATTGACAGGAGGAATGAAAGTTTAGAAGGATATTTGAATAACCAGGCATGGTGGCCTAAGCCTGTAATCAGTCCCAGCACTCAGGAAGCTGGGAGGATCCCTGTGAGTTTGAGGCCAGCCTGAACCTCATAGTGAGACCTTGTCAAAGGAAAAAAAAAAGCTACTTGAACAAAAATTGTGTCCTTCTGGGTGGTAGAAGACAGGAGAGAGGATGGTGTTGGGACCTTGAAGAGAAGAGAAATTTCAGAGCAATCCTTAAGGATCTTTTGGTAACTGAAATGTAAGTAAAGGAATAACAGGACAGTGTCACAGACCAAGTTCAAGTCAGATGCACCAAATTCTGATATGCACACAGAGACACAGTAGTACTTTGTGATTATGGACCAGAGTCTGGACATACTTTTGTGACTAATGTGTGGGTAAAATCAAACTGAGGAGAACATTGAGGAACTAAGGGATACTTCGGTGTTTTGTGTACCATGGGTGACTGATTTGGAGAGGATTGAATAATGAGGGTGATAGAATGGAGAGGATGAATTAACTGGAAGCAAGTGAAACATAATTCAGGAAGGTGGCCTAAGTCTGATGGCTAAGTGTGATGGCTTGATTGTGGTGTTTTAAGATTTTCAGACTGTGGCTCAGTTAGGGGTAGAGAACTAACATTTATTGTTGCTACTGTTAACTACTATTCTGTACCTGACACAATAACATGCTTTTTGTATGTTATTAAACCATACAAATCATTTGTAATTCCTCCATTCTTCAGATGAGAAAACTGTGACTACATAGTTAGAAATTGACAGTCTGTTAAAATAACCGGGCCTGTTTGACTCTAGATCCTGTCTTCTTTCTGTGTAATGCTGAATTGCACGCACCATGTAGCCAAATGGTACTTTTTTGGTACAGTTAATTTGATTGGGAACTTCTGTGTGGATGATAGCATGTTTTCTATGTGTGGAAACATACCATAAAGAAAACTAATTCTTTGACAAGTGAATACTTATCCTCAACATTTTTTAGGTTTAGAGTTTTATAGAAGATTTTAAATCTTTTTTGTTTGCATAAACATCTAGTTGTGATCATGAAACCTGTAATCCCTGTGACTATTTCATGTTGATTACATTTTATTTTCTATTGATTTAGATTCATTGGTTTTCAATTTTCAACTCCTTCATGATGGTAATCTTCTTGGTGGGCTTAGTTTCAATGATTTTAATGAGGACTTTAAGAAAAGATTATGCCCGGTACAGTAAAGAAGAAGAAATGGATGATATGGTGAGTAAACATTTCACATTATACTGATAGGAACAGTTTATCTCAGTTATTTTGAATGTTGATATGTTCATAATTTCTTATATGCAGTCCTGAGGCCAGATGAGTTTTCAAAATACAATTTTTAGGTTTTAGGCATGTGTAAAACTCCCAGGGGCGTCCAGGAACACACCCATTAATTAACTATATTAATGTTTTTTTCAGTAAAATATGAATGTTCACCCTAAGTTAGATAAATTAACAGTAAAAGTAATCTTTTTTAGGGGGTGCTCCTGGGGATCAAACCAAGGCCTTCACACTGAGCTACATCCTCACCCCTTTCTCATTTATTTTGAGACAGGATCTTGCTAAGTCACTAAATTTCCCAGGCTGGGATTGAACATGTGATTCTCCTTCCTGAGCCTCTTGAGAGTGCTGGGATTATAGGTGTGAACCCCACCAAGCTATAAATAACCTCTTGTTAGTTCAGGCTTAAGTTTTGCATCAGATAAGGACACATAAAATTTATGAAGTAAACTTGGTTTTCATAATTACAACTAGGAGGTTATAGACCTGTATTAATATCTTTGTAATACTATTAAATATTGCATAAAATTCAGGGAGTAGATGGAAAGATTTACCTTTAGCTCAGGTTGTTCAGAGGAGAGATTTGTTTTCTAAAGTATTCTAAATTGTGAACAAAACATGCTCTATAAAATATTAATGGCTATTCTGTGTACGAATACTTCCTCTTTAAGTTTGGGAACTACTTAAATTTTAATATGTTAAAAATGTATTGTGACATATCAGAGGGTAGGTAAGATATTTGTTCTTTCTCAAAACATACCTGACCAGGATCTTTCCCACCTTAACTCCCTCCCAAAGAAAAAAACAGATTACCTTGAGTGACTGCCATTTCTTATGAAAAGCTGATTTCTTTTTACAAACCACTATAGACCTGGCAGTGGTGGTACACGCCTATAATCCCAGCACTTGGGAGGCAGAGGCAGGAGGATTGCCAAGAGTTTGAGGCTAGCCTGGACTACATAGCTCAAAGCCAGTGTGAACTACTACATAGTGAGAACCTGTCTCAAAAACAAAACAAGAAAACCGCTATAGAAAGCCACAGTCATGAATAGAGTCTGAAAGTAATTGTAAGAGAGTACCGTGTTTTCCCAATATGACCATTCCATTTTGCTCCCCAATCTGTCCTTCCATTCTTTGAGATTATCTGAGCACAACCAGGAGTCAGTCACCCTCCTGAACTCTAGCACTTTGACATTATCTTATTAAGGATATGCTGTTTTAATTTGGGGGCTGTTTTTTGTTTTGTTTTTTGTGTTTTGAAGCGATCACTTTTTTGTTCAAGCTGGCCTTGAACTCACTGCATAGCCGAGGCTAGCCTTCAATTTGTGGCAATCCTCTGGCAGTGACATTTTAAATATGAGATATCTCTTCTCATTATTTTTAGCCTCTTTGAAAAGCTGTAAATTTGGAGGGAGAGAACTCAAAACTGTATTTTTAAAAATCTATTGACTGTTTTAATTTGATTCTGAATGTTGTTTTTTTCTCTGTACATATATATATTTAAATAGGATAGAGACCTAGGAGATGAGTATGGATGGAAGCAGGTGCATGGAGATGTATTTCGACCATCAAGTCACCCATTGATATTTTCCTCTCTCATTGGCTCTGGATGTCAGATATTCGCTGTCTCTCTCATTGTTATTATTGTTGCAATGATAGAAGATTTATATACAGAGTAAGTGCTTATATTTTATTACTTTTTAGTTCTTGAATAGTTTTAATCATTAAAACCTTTTAAGTCAATCATAATTAAATATTTGCTTATTTCCATTATATTAGAATTTAAATACTATATTATTATAGGCAAATAATGAATAATAACCTGAAACTATATTTCTCTGCACATGCTGAATCTTACTACTATCATTACTGAACATTTTGATTGGTTACAAAGCTTATGTTCTATTACAGAGTTAAGTAGAGGTTACTTTCAGTTCAGAGCTGTTTAACAGTGAACCAGGTGTTTCTTTTTTCTTTTTTTGGAAGGTTGAACATTCAATTAGATCTTATAATACCAGGATTACACAGTTGCTAAATTAGTACTTCACATTTCTCTCCAAATCTAGGAGATTCTACGGAATGGAGGGATTATAAATAGTGGTAAAGAGTGATGGAAAATTTGTTTGAGGTTAGAAAGTAACTGGATGACTGCTTAAAAGAAAAGTCCTAGACTAGTATCCTATCTTTACATGCTGGTTTTTTTCCTAATAAAATTATTTGTTTGAAATTTTGATTCGAGGTCTTTGAATTGAATGAAGTTGTATATTCCCAAAAGTAGTCCCATCACCTTGTGCTCAGAGGGCTACAACATCTAAAAAGCAAAAGATTTTCTGGTACATAGGTGGCAGTGGTTCTGATTCAGGTACTTCATGCTACTTCATGATGCCCTCTGTCAGAATGACCCTATTCTCTAGTTGTATTTCATACCACTAGTTTAATGTATTCATGCCTACTATTTCAGGGACAAGCAATAAATTTGTGCAGAAAGAATAACTCTTGAGTTGTGTATTAAATATTTTACTGTATACTAAATAGCTTTTCTTCTCTTAGTAGGTTCCTTAAGAGTAAGGATTGGGTTTTAACTTAACCTTTTAATTCTCGAAGTACTGTGCCTACACAAAGAGCTTTGCATGTGGAAGAAACCCGATCAGTGCTTGTTGAACTGAAATGAATATGTATTCACAACAAAGTTGTTTCTCTGTAGTTTCTATTTTGTTTCTTTAATATATATAACCTTTGCAATTCACTTACCTCAGAAGCTTTAAATAATTGGCCAAAACTTCAGATTTATGGAGAGTAGTTCATATTTTAGGGAATAATATATTTCAGATAGATTGAATCCTAAATATAAAAAAAATTTCAAATCTGCCAAGAGGTTGTACTTTACATTAAATATTGGCTTAAATTCGTCATTTTTGAATTAATACTGAGTATACTATTCAGCTTTATGAACGACTAGAGAATAACTTTTCCTAGAATCCAAGTTTTTGCTTTGTTTTTCAAAATCTTAGTGTTATATTTTGGCAATTTGTTTTTTATGGAGAAACTCTTCCTAAAGACCTTCAGTTTTTAGAAATAGGAAACAGCTCTGTAATAGATGATATTAGTAGGCAAGTCATGCATTGTTTTTTTACTGCTATTACTGTAAATTGTTGTTTGAAGTTAAAGTAATTACTTAAAAGTACTAAAGCAATAAGTGTTACTATAAGAAGGGCTAATGTAAGTGAGGTGTCATGTTTTTTGCTTTATGAACATTGGCTTCTTTAATCTTTCACATCAACTCTATAAAAGGGACTATTATTTCTTTTCTAGCACAAGGAAAGTTAAGCTTGGAGAAGTTGAGTAATTTGACTGAGATCACACAGCTGTTACTAAAAGATAATGTGAGATTCATATTTAGGCAGTCTTACTATAGAACTTTTCTCTTAATTTGCTATGTTATAGAAATGAAAGTAGCAGTAATAACAAAATGAAGCTATGACAAAGTAAAAAAAAATGTACCCATAAAATTGAGATGAATCATGCCAGAAATGAAATGATTCTAAAGATAATGTAACATGAGAAAATTACTTTTCTTCTGTGATCACCATAATCAGAGAGGAAAAAGTATTTTGAGCATGTAGATTTGTATCACTGTGGATACGCATTGTGTGATATTAACTTTTTAGAAGGCATAGCATTGTAACAGTGACAGTACTCTTGGTATGCTGCTGCAGCTGCTCCTCTAAAACTTTCAGTGGAGAGTGGTAAGCTAGCTGCAAGCTCTGCTTAGAGGTTCCCCCTCCAGTCTCAATACTGAGACTGCCTCTAGATTTCTTAGCGTAGGCAAAAATGGTTCATTGGGGAGGGCCAAGTGAAATGCCATAGAATATGAGCAAAGAGGTGAGGATAAGTCTGATTTTTAAGTCTGATGGATAACTTTGTCTCCAGGGACCCGAAACTTAACACTAAGTCATTTTGGATTCTCAGTCTCACAGGCAGCCCTTTTGAACTCTTCCTGGTGACACTAGAAATTTCTGAGTGGAATTAGACTGTTCTTATGCTGAAAGCAGTCTTTTTGTTTCAGCTTTGTTAGGTCTAGGTCAGCCTTAATGCACATATTTATAAACAGAGTTGCCCCAATTTTTTAACAGTAGCCTGGAAGTACTGGTGAAACACTTGTAGTATTTTATTGGATTCTTGAAAAAACATCAGTTTAAACGCTGAGATGTATGATCCTTTAAACTTGAGAATGACAGGGCCGGGAATTTAGCTCAGTGGTTTCTCCGCCTGCTGTGCAAGCACAAGGACTGAGTTTGATCCCCAGTACAAATAAATAAATAAAAATAAAAATGACCTTGAGAATGACATATTCCTGTATTATACTTGTTTAGCTGAATATTGTATATTGTACTTGTGTTTGGCTGTATATTTTCAGTTATGCATCCTCTTTTTTTTTAAGAGTAGGAAAAATTTATTGGGAGAAAGAAAGCTTCTGCCTAAGAGAGACCGAAGAGGGATGGGAAAGTGGGTTGCCCGCCCACCCCACTTTTCAAGGATTTTTTTTTATACAGCAAAGCCATGTGGTGAGGTGGGTACCTAGTGGGACAAAACTATAAGACCCAATGGAAATTTACAAGGTGGGTATGAGGTAGGGCAAAACCATGACCAACCAGTAAGATTACAAGTACAGTCACCCAGGTAATATTGATTAAATGGGGGTCTTGTGGGGGAGCAAGTCACACAGCAAGTTTATAAGGATTTTCAGTAGGGGTGGGGGTCAGGGATATTTCTTGAAAAGGCTGGGTTAAGACCTTGGCCCCCTCCTACCCAGGTGATTGATACCTATTTAGAATATCAGTTACTGCTATTCATCCTATGTGGGTGTGGTAGTTTCTCTTTTACAATTTTGGCCTTCAGTGAATGTGTCTTCACTGTCCTCCATGTTGGCTCCTCGAGGGCTAGCCCTAACTGCCTACAAGATATCCAATTAATTTACCTATCTGCAATATTCCTCCCTCTGAAGAAGTACCCCTAACTGCTGTGAGGGGGCAAAGGGCAAAGACCATTCTGGCTACTTCCAGATGCAGAGGGTTGTAGTTGTCATCAGCAGGTACAGTTATTCTACACAGAGTCTATCTAAAGGGCCTTGATAGGCGCCAGGCATTATCATCTTGGTAGCCATATAGCTTTGAGTCTGGAGGAGACAAAGCCAAAGAAACAGTTAATACATGGACCAAAGTATAAGGTCAACAGGATTGCTATGAATATAGCCAGCAACTGGGAGGAACTAGTAATAGCCTCCCACAAAGAGGATAAGGAGAAGGCCCAGGGGACTTCAGAATCCCGATATAGAAGTCCTATTGTACAGTTTAGCAATTATAAGCTGTTTACAAGGTTGATCTGGTGGATCCCGGTAAAAGAAGTCTAGCACATTTGTCATTGGTTCTGTTTGTATGACTGCTTTGGAGTTTGGCAGCCTCTAGGCAAGAATAAATGAAACTTTTAAGAAAATAAGAGCATGCATAATCTAAGCATGAGCACACTAGAATGGAAGGGCAGGTTGGGAAGAAAGTCACACTTAGAAATTGAAATAGTGATTGTAACCTGTTGGCTCTTACAGGTTCTACCATAGTTTTTTCCTAATGATCCATAACTGTGGTCAGCTACTGGTATAGCTAGAAACTGCCAGAAGGGGTCAGTGACTGGAGCCCCTTTTTATATCTAGGTTTATTACTATGGCATTATTTTATACCTCTTTTGGTTATTCTTTTCTGCTGAGTGTTTAAGACCAAGTTAAAGTGAGACCTATGTCAATCAGTATGAACCTTTTGCTATCTATCAAGGTCAGTTAAGTCTCCTCAGGCATTACTTTGGAACCATGCATAGAGCCTCTCAATGTCAGCCATCGGGATGGGTCATGGCCTTGCTTGACCCTGTTGCTTTCAGTGAAAGTGGTAGATTTTTCCCTTTATGTGACCCTCCTTTGGCACACAGTACATTTGTCCTCTGGTCCCCAGCAATCTCCCCACACAGGAGGTTGAGTGACTTAGCAAAGATGTAGGATCCTGTAGGAAAGGTTCCTTTGCATCCTAGATCTTTGTTGACCTTGAGGGGCCAGGGCCAAAATATTGGCTGTCCTCAGAGCCCAGTTACCTTTCTAGTTTTGGTCTCCAAACTGTAATTGTTGAACACCCAGAAGAGAAGATCAGTGACATAAGTATTTAAGTAGGAGCAGTGAGCGTAACTATTATAATAGTTAAAACATCAAGCACTTTTGAAGTATAAAGTACAGTTAGAGGGTTGTTATTTCTTACCAACCATTGTTTTTTTAGTAGTTGAATGCCTGCAGAATGTTAACAGACAGCAGTTATATATTATAGAGAAACTTAAGATTAAGAGCTACACACATAGTATTTTAGCATGGCAATCACGATGACATTTTCTTTGTAACACTTACATGTCCATCTTAGTACAGAATAGTCTTTCAGTCATACACCTCCATCTGATCACAAGGCTTTAAATGATATAAAGAAAACTCTTATTTGTTATCCTTTAGTAGGATGCCATGTAAAGAGAATATACATATTGGCCTATAAATGCACCTTACGAGTTCATAATGTTTAGCCTCTAATTTTAGTGTGTGACGTTGTTTCAACTGGCGACTGAATATCCCTAGTGTGTGGTGGCACATAT